CACACACACACACACACACACACACACAGACACACACACACACACACACACACACACACACAGATAATGCCAAGAGCCGGATGTCAGTGCTTCAATGGTACTAGACATATAATTATTCTTGAATTGTAGGAGCATATTCGACTTGACATTTCCATGCTCCACTGGCTTCTCATCTATTTTACTTGAATTTATTTGAATAAATTTTATCACTTGGTTTCAGAGAGCTGGTTCCACAGGACTGAGTGGGAGAGTCGTGGCACCCAACGAATGCTTATTTAGAATGAATTATAAATGCCTCACATGGGGTCGTTACAGTACAAACAACATCTCTATCTCTTGCAACTTTGATCAGATTAGAGAAATCAGCCACATGACAAAAACATGACAGCGTACTCTCATCCATTAAAGTGAATCCCTCATCCCTCTTTTCTCCTGTGTTCTAACTCATCTGCTGCGATCTGTGTGTCTTTTTCTCCATGTCAGACTTTGGCTACAGCTCAAGGTAATATACTTGAGAACAGGGAGCTTATAGACAGTCTGAACCAGACCAAGGCAAGCAGTGCCCTGATCCAGGAGTCGCTGGTGGAATCACACAGACTACAAGCATCCTTAGACCAGGTACAGTCTTTCAGCCGTGAATGTAAGAAAACACACACACTCTAGCATGTGCAAACAATACAGGTGAAAATCCACATGTGCTGGAAAAAGATCTTGAATACAGGGCTTTCTGCAATAGCATTTGGCACAAATGAAGAAACAACTAAAGAAACGAATATAATATCTGTAGACTAAATGTCACAAGCTTTATTTGAATTTTCTTTAACTATTCTGTTATAACCATAAGTTAAAAAAAAGCTAACAACATACGTTGCATCATGGAAGTAAAAGTTAGTCAGCCTATATCTAAGTTTTTTCTCAGTTTGAACTGCACCTTATGTTCTAGCCTATGCAGTGGCTTCCCCAAGATATTACAAACACCTCCCAAAAAAGCAACTGCACATGGTAAAGATGCGGTAACACCTTTTTAAAAAGGGGAACGCAACACCCTGGAGGAAACATACATTTTCAGTCAAGTCACCGCAAGCTGAAAGAGTGGGCACGACTCATGTTTTCCTTACAGAAGTTTGGACATCAATGAAACAGACTGCAGAAACTGGAGGACAAAAAGAGATGAGTTTGATCTGTCAGGGAAACAGCTGGCAACACATCCCATGTCCTGCTTTGGGGGCAGACGTCTGCCTTCACGTCAAAGATTATAAACTAGTGTAATTGTTTAAGTAGGTTTTAATAATCAGGAACTGTTGCTGATTATCACACCCTCAGTGATAAAATCTACTGCTGTCTTTTAATGCTGTCACACTCACAGTAAATTGATTTTTAATAATTGCAAAACAGGCTGTTTTTTTAACAAATAATATCCATGTTAATAGTGTGAACAGATCAAAAGGTAGTCTTCGCCAGTCTGTTGAAGCAGTGAGCTTTGATGTTCTCCTATATTTCCTATAATGTCTTCATTTTTATAGATCTTATTTATTTTTATTTTTTGTGAAAAGGCTAAATACATCAACATTGGTAAGAAAACTAAATATTATGTCCAGTAATTGTTGATATCCTCTTTCTGTGCTTAAAGGAGTTGCATAGAAATCCAGCTGCCAAGTAGCACATTGGTGATGTTGCTGCAGACCTGCAGACTTCCAAAAACTCACCACAGAATAGGTCTCTTAAAAGGTCTCAACAAAGGTTTAACAAAGTACCAGTCTGGGCTTCATTAAACCAAACGTAAAATCCAAAAAAATCCCCAAAAAATCTGTTATAGACTGGAACCCTTCCGATCAGCACCAGCACATGTGGAAGCAGCACTTGTTTTCAGTTATGTTGATTCACAGCTCTGATGTCCATCACTTATAAAAGCGAAGAGAATGTAAGAGCAAGTATATGAGAGAAATATTTAAAAAAAACATGACAGTCAGAGATATGGCGACATATACAGTCTGTTAATGCCACTCTATAGAAAATTGTAATGAAAATGAAAAAGATTTAGCATTTATAATGCAGAATTTCTACTTTTTGAATTAGATAATGAGTGTTTTACAAATACACAGGCCGACAACCTCAAACAGCACCTGGTTGGAGGCATGAGCATGTTAACATTTGTTACAGCATCATCCTGTAGGGCGCAGTGTTACACCAGAACTGATTATGTTTTTTTTTCCTCTGTTGCTTCTATTTATTCATTATTTCTTCTATTTCTTTCTCTCATGTACCTCCTGTTTTTTCTCACATTTCCAATCCCATCACACCTCGTGTTGTCTACCTTCTTTCGTTTATTCTCTCGTTCTACTTCTCTGCATACCGTTCTCAATTCTATCCCATCCATCTGTTATTTTTCACATATCTCTCAACGTATATATTTTTTTATTTTTTTAAACTTTTTCTCGGTCTTCTTGTTTTCTTCTCACTCCCTTCTTCTCTCTCTATCTTTTCCTTTCTTTTGTATTTGTAATTCCAGGAGCGGGATGCCTACCTGCCCCTCGCAGAAAGTGCTAGCAAGATGTATTTTGTTATCACAGACATGTCAAAGATCAACAACATGTATCGCTTCAGCCTTGCTTCTTTTCTGCGCATCTTCCAAAGAGCTCTACAGGCCAAGAAGGTAACTAAATTCCACAGAATTCTGCTCTGACACTTTTTCAAATGTTTTTTTTAACTAATCAGTGCCTTTCTTCCTTTGAACAAATACTTTTGCATTAATAGGTGAAAACCAAACAGAGCTGATTTCACTTTACAGACATTGAGAGAAAACATGAGGAACAAACCTGAATAAGGCCAAATTTCACCTGCTTGAACAGTAGTAGAATATCCTCATTAGATTTTCAATAGATTTTTTGGTTTTATGCTTAACTTAGTATGACATTCAATGAAAACTATGCTCCTTTTAATTATATCCGACAAGAATTATGATGTTGTATCTGATCGAATCGACAGCAATCTTTGGATTTGGTTTAAAGTGATACCAGGTGAAAACGCAGTGTCGCAGGGGTGTGTGCCCAGATAGGAGAGCAATTCTCATCTGGGTCTGTTTGGCAGAACGAAGAACCTAAGCAGAGATGACATGGCAGTTAGCTGTAGCAACCTCCACTATGCTCAGGATTCTGAGAGTGATCGCTGTTCTTTGCCAAGAGCAGAAGATGATTGTGGATCCAGGCCAGTAAAATGCCCGATCCAACCTGATCGTATATATGCTTCCTTCGCTCTAAAAGTTGCACGGAAACTGAAATTATATAATGATTTCTGAGTTTTTTTTTTGTGCTCACTGATTTTAATTTATTTCAAACATTTGACTTGTAGATTTACTATATAAAGCACAGGAATTGGACATAAGATCATGTGAAAAATCAACGCATTGTGGGACTATAAATGAAGAGAATGTATGGTGATATACAAATAAAATTTAGTCTATTCCATAAGAGTAAGGATCTAATATAAGAAACAACCCTCCCTAGCCGATGGTTGAAAATAATCAATTGACCCCTCTCTTCAACTGTTGTGGACCTTCTGATTGTAAGGAATGTTCAGCTTGGTTTTCATCTGGTCTGTTTTTGTCTTTTTGCTGCCTCAACCATGCCTCTTGTGAGATGCCTGTTTTTTTTTATCTCTTACAATGTCTGCAACAGTCAGTCTACTGTTGATCTGTGTTTGTTGTGGTTGTGCACTAGACAGATGTGTCATACAATATGGTGAACACTGCCCAGAATGCAGTGTACCGTGGCATCATTGTGCATACTTTTCATGAGGCTATGCAGATACTGTCAGGACAGGGTCCTTCCTCAGCAGAACAACGTAATCGGTGCCAGCTACTCCTCAACCCATATCTTAAATGGTTTCCCTATTGAGGCAACAGGAGTGAGAAAACTGTGAAGATGTTTGTTTATTAAAGGGCTTAGGTGTTCATGCTGGCTAGCAGGAAACCCCCCCTTATGCCAATGCTAAGGAGGTTATATCTGGTCAGTTGGGTTCAAGTCGTTTCAGTTAAAATTGGCCTTGTTAGGTTCCTTGTTAACAATGTATAAAACAGCTTGATGAAATAGTGTGACATTTTGAAAATGCATTACCATGCTGAGAGATCTGAGTGCTAAGAAGACATGATGCAGGGGAAATGGCCAGCATTACTATGGAAAAAAGGAACTTCAAACACTCACTGAAAGTTTACATTCTGTTAGTTTTAAGAGTCTCTTTTGTTACCTGGCAACTGCTCAGAGGCATACATAGTCAACCAGCACAACTCCCTATTATTTTCTTTGCAGTGTAGTCTCTGATTGTCTGGTTTGTTGGTTAAAACATCAGTGAACTTTGGACTGGTACTGTATCAGGGTCTGCATGTCATTTTATAGATATGATCATATACTACATGACTCTTTCTGGGGTTATTCAACAAAAACAAAATCCCATTTGAGTGCAAGATTATACATTTACTTGGACAGATTTGTTGTTGCTGTGGATTTACCCACAGTCTTATGTATACTTGATGAACTAAGCCTAATTCTTTTTCCATCAATCCGTCTTTTTTGATGTGCTTTTCATTAGAGATTATCTTAATTTAAAACAGCTATTTCTTCTGTGTTCTTCAGCACATTTATCCCAGTGTGACCCATGCAGCTGGAGAGCACCATAGACTGTCACACTGCTGCTCCCCATCTGAGTCCTGAACACTGTCTGATAACCAGAGCGTGCACACACACACACTCATACCCGCCCACACACATGCAGGAAAAGCGACAGTGAGTTGCAAGGTTGAACGCTAATTCCCTCAGATCCTGTGTGGGTTGTCAGAGTCACTGCTGTCATCCAAGAGTGTCACCTGACGGCAGCAGCTTGTCATCACCATTGCATGTTTCAGTGTGTGTGCATATGAAGTGAAGGTTTTGGCCAGAGTCGGCCACTGTGGTCAGAAGCAGTGCTGTGATTCGTGGGTTCTTCCTCCCTTTGTATCTTTTTTAATTGAATGAGCGAGTTTAATTTGCCATGTGCTGCAGATGGTTCCTGAGATCTGGAAGAGGACTTTACCCTCTGATGGCTGACCTAACAGACTCCTGTTTGTGTATACACACAGATTCACATCACCGAACATGCTCACACACATCGAAAGCACACTTGCTGAGCAGTGTATGCATACTCACTGTATTCAAAAAGTGCTAACATAAGAGCTCATCTGAATACAGTTTTACAAACAAGCACTAGCACACGCACACACACAGACACACAAGCCGAATCCCTGGAAGGCCCATTGCATCTTCTTCCTCACTATACAGTTGTTCAGCCATCCAGCTGCATAGTGATGCCTTTGTGGTTTTATCAGAGGGAAGATAAATAAAATGATGTGGTTAAAAAAAGGCCTGAATGGCTTTGCTGCTGTTAAACACTTGTGAGACAGCAAAGTTGCTCCCATGTCACAGCAACAGTTACATTTATTCAATTCCTGTTCATTCGCTTTAGGACTTGAAAGAAATTCAAAGTAAATAACTCCCCTGAAACTCTTAAGCATAATGTCATCACCCAAATCAAATGAACTCACTCCATCTGTGTATGTGTGTGTGTTTCAGGAAGAAGATAATACAGAAGCGAGGATTGCAGCTTTGCAGGCCAACTTGAAGAATATGGTGTATGAATACGTCTGCCGGTCGCTTTTCAAGGTATTATGCAGACAAGACACAGAAAGCAAGCAAATGTTGGTTTGAAATCTTTCAGTGACAGTGACAGCAAATGAGACATTCTCCTGACTCCAAAATGTGTAGTTATTCTAACTGAGTTTTCTTTTCATCTTTCTTTTTTTCTCAAATGGGACCTTTTTTCCTTATTTTATTCATAGGATGTGGTGATAGTCCAAGATACAAAATTTCATCGATAAGCACACCCTCCATCCGCCCAAAAATATCTGTTTTCTCTCCTAACACCTACTGAAATGTTCCTTTGCCAAGATACTTTCAACATTTGTCTTCAAATGTATCCACTTTTTTGTATACTAAGACTGAAACATGGACTCAGTGAATAAAGCAGTCAGTACTTTATACCATGCTACCACCACCATATACTGTGAGATCCTCTAGCCGATCAAGATGCAATTTTTGTAAATGAAACACTGAAACTCAGGCTGTGCTCTCACTGTTAATGAAGCTGGTTATTCTCAGCAACTGCAGATGGACTAAAATTTGCATCAATTTGTATTGCAAAGCAGTTTTTAGAGCAGTGTTCTTGCAGAGTTTTAATCCAAAGACACAATCAAATATCCATCAGATAAATGTACTCACTTCTACAATGTAACCTCTTCTCCACACACACTAATGAAGTGTCAAATATTGAACAACGACGCAATCATTGCATCGACCAGGCAGTAAATGTTCAAGGTAATTTCTTTGTTTGTGTTTGTCTGTGCTTGCATGGTTTGATTGGTGATTGGAATTTTAAGCAGTCGGAGCGGCTTCTAACTCCAGTTTGCAGAGCGTTTTTGCTCAACAGCTACACCTCAGCACATGTGCATATGTTTAGGCATTAGCTGAGAGAAAGGATTGGACAAGTTTATCAGTGCGTCTGTCAACATGTGCTTAGAAACAGATCACTTTTAGAGAGCAGAGAGGTGGGAGAGCAGATGCCAATCAACAGATAAAGTTAGAGAGAGAGGGGAGAGAGGAGGCAACAGTGTCTTAGAAAAGAGAAAGTCACATTCGGAAAAAAAATCCGAGATTTTCCCATACAAGAATTACAAAACTAAAACATACCAGACCCATATTTTTTGGAACATGCTTATTTTTCCATGTTTGCACAACCAACAAACGAAATTCTTGTAGTGTAACGATGAGAATAGAGAAGAAAATTTATAAAAAGCTGACAGTTGAAAGAAAAACCTTTGAAAGATTTGAGGAAATACCTTTGACCTAAGCTCCACCACAAAGGTTCAAATCTAATATCACAACTGGGCTCTAAGCAGTTTGGGTGAAATGATTTGATCCTGCTAAGATCAGAACAAACTAGACTGAAAGAATTTTAGGAGCAGAATAGAAAAACCTTGACCTATTATTGACTGAATTGGTAATCTCTAAAGCCATACTGGAAGCTGTCAGAGGTACTGTAATAATACACATATGATATCAATAGAGATAAAGTTCTTTGTGCACCAAAGATAGAGGAAAGAAAAACATCGATCTGCAGTAGCTTAAAGGCAATTTGACCAGTCACATGTTAAAATGTTTTGAGATAAATGGACTGACTGAGGAATACTTATTCAAGCAGCCAAGGAGGAACATTATCTTGAATGGAAGGCGAGGAGGTCATACAGGAGACTGCTCTAATTCTGGGAAAGAAATCTCTTGAAATAGAAGAATTAAAACATAACAGTTTTTTGTTTTTTGGCCTTTTGCTGATATCACCGTTTTCCACTGAGTGTTTGAGCTTGTGTGGTCCAAAGTCATTAGAGTTTTGTTAATTGATTTAAACAGAGGGACCTTTAAACAAATGTTACTGCACCTCTGGTCCGAGTGGCAGCTCAGTAGGATTTAAGGATGTTAATTAAAAGGGATTGCAGAAATGACCCACTGAGTCAGCACAGGAAACGCATGCTGTTGTAATAGAGTGATCTCCGTATGTGGCAGGTATACATATTCATGTAGGGAACTGTGTGAATCAGGATGCAGGTGTAACTTTCTTTACTGTAGCGTGACATTACTGGTTTTGAGGGTCCTTCCCTTTCAAAGTCTCAGCCTAAAAGTAGTTCTCCCTGTCAGACTGACACTCTGACTTTCTGTCTGACACATATATGCGCAGTCACAAAGAAAAACACTTTCTTTGACTTGTCTTATCACTTTCCTGATTCAGTGTGTTGGAGCTGGATTGCATGTCACTTCAGCAGGCATGAAAGTAAGATGGCAGCTTAGCTGAAATCATGCCGACTTTGGATCAAAAGATGAGCCATGGCGACTGTCAGAGAAAGGGCACAATTGTGTCGAGTTTTAGTTAAAATGTAAACTGAAAAGAAACACATTTAGAAATAGGTAGAACTACCTGTTGACAATTAAGAATGACATCTCAGTTTTTTTTTCTTTGAATGATTTGTTTGGTATTTGTCTTTACGTACTTTTCTGTTGGTTAGGGTAAGGTTTCTGCTGGTATGTTTAACAAAGTTCACGGTTACCCACCACATAGAATTAAACAGAATTCTTACCATTAAATAGTCTGCAGCCTTTATTGCAGATACACATCGAGCTGTGACTGCTGTGACAGAAAGGGATAAAAGTACTGCTCCTGCACCAAAGGTTTTAGAGAGTCATTTTCCCATGAACAGACAAAACTAGATACTGTCAGTGTCTAAGTGTGTGGGTGTAAACGCGTGCCGAGGGTTGTGTCAGCACCTCAACACCCAAGTATCATAGGTCACGGACTTTGCTGTTAAGAATTTCCTCCATGGCTTTCTCTTACCTTTAGACCTACATGTCAAACAAACAGTTTTGATGGACAGAAAGATTCTTGCACTGCTTTCCACCTTCCCCCTGTGTACTTTTACCAGCAGACAATATTTAAAAAAAAAAAAGCCCAGTCTCATTCTCTCTTCAAATGTTCATAGCATCCTTATTTGTTGTAAGCACATCTGACTGACTGCAGTTTCTGCAGATTCCAAAGATGTATGCTTAGACAGAAATGTCCCCCCTTATCCATCTTATATGATATATAAGGGAGATGATGCCAACTACTCACGTAAAGAGCCAAAACATTAGCATGCCCATTGAGATGTTTTACTTGCATACTTGTTCTAATTTAGTTGCCCTTGCTTGGCACTTGCTAAGTGGATAAAATCAAATGTGAATACATTAACACGAAGCAGTGCAGCAGTACTACATTACCTTTGTTCTGTGGTATTGCAAATTGGAGAGAAAAGCATCAATTCAATACCTAAAGGCCAGAAGGATGTTTCTATAAAGTCATTTGTTGGACATTTATCCCACAGAGGTCAATTTAAGACACAGATATATAAGATATAAATACATCAACAGCATTTACTGTCACAGCGCAGATATATTGCTAACTTTATCTCGGGTTCTCTCAGTGTGGGAGTGGGATACTTATCTTGATTAAAAGCTGCCTCAGTTGTCTGTAGTTGTATTGTACCAGCAGCTGTGAAAGACAGTGAGCCAGGCACAGCAAGACAGAATTTAGCGATGACGCAGCAGCTTTTGCAGTGCCTGATGCCTCCTGGGGCCCTTTTTTCCCTCCACTTCTGACAAACCTTTACGAATCTTGATAAAGAGCTATTTAACATGATATACAATATCCCCTTTTCAGTCACACAGATACACAAAGATTTTATATATATATGCATATGTTTATTTTGTTTGTTTTTCAAACTGAGAAATGAATCATGTTCTCACTTGTGATGTGACTATAGACTGCATATATTGATGGATACACTATATATAATTTCTGTTTCTGTGTACCTCATTTCAGGCCGATCAGTTGATGTTTTCTATGCACTTTGTGAAGGGCATGTACTCTGAACTCTTCCAGGAGAATGTAAGTCATTTCGCATTAGGAGTTAAAGAATTACGCAAATAAAGTGATACATGTCGAAATTGTGACTTTGATTGTGAGGAGTATTTCCCTTGATGCCCCTGTTTCATACAGGAATGGGAAGTATTCATCGGATCTATTGTTGGAGAAATGTTTAAGAAAGAGGTAAGACTGTTCTTTCCTCTCCCTGTTATTAAAGAAAAAAAAATTTTTTTTTGGTCCAACATCTCTTCCCTGTTTCCAGGAGTTCCCTGCCTGGGTTGATCAGGAGAGACATGGAGCGCTGGCCATTTTGAAAGTAGGCTGTCTGAAATTTACAGTAAATTTGTAGTTTATCTGAAAATCTAGATGTAAAGATTATTACACAGTTGTAGATGCAATGGCTTGAACAACAATAACACTCATACTTGATCGTATTAAAAAGCCTGGTTACTTTATTTTCCAACCAGAGGAATGAAAGGCACAATATAAAATCAATGGATATTGAATATCAGTGAGGAAATCATTACAGGTTTCATCCATTTAACTTTAGCACATCTCTTTTACAGTCAACATTTCCAGCTCTCTACCAGACCCTGTGTTTGAGCGACTCAGACCTTTGGCTGTCCTTCTTGCAAAGCTCTCAGTGTGAACAGGAAATTCCATCCTCCATTGCCAAGAAAATTAGTCTCTTCCAGCAGGTCAGCTGTCACTCATCTTCCTAACCTTTTTCTCCATTTATTGTTTTGACCAGACTGTTGTTGATAAACTCTCCTGTGTATATATTAGAATGAATTGAAAGCATTAATTGTCATTTAATCACAAATCTTTAGAAAAGCTGTGTGATACAATTACCGTTGTAATATGAGACTGAGGAAAAAGTAATTAAATTTCTATATAAAGATGATACACGACTGTCCAAATTTCTTCCTATTGTAGGGTTGTTTGGAAAGCCTTTGCAATTTTCTGAAATAAAGCTTATTTGTTCTAATATGTGATATATATCCTTCCACATAAGTGAGTTGGACCTTGTGTCTAACAGTTGTTTTTTAATGTTGGCTGTTCCTGGTAGTTTCTCCTTGTATTCATTGCTTTTTGCTCTCCCCTCTTCAGCTTTTATTGGTCCAGGCAGCCAGACCTGACCGGCTGCAGAGTGCAATGACTGCCTTTGCCTCCCATGCTCTCGGTCAGTGTTTCAATTTATAGTTTTTGTGCTCTGTTTCCTTCCTCTGTGGTGCTTCAGAATACATATACAGATAAATCATACTGAAAAATAATAAAAAAACCCCCAGCAAAGATACAAAATAGAAATCAGTTTGACTGTCAGAATGTTTTGAAGATGCCTTTTGGATTTGTGTGTAAAGCCCTAGGTCAACTAACTCACTTTACTTAAAGCGTTCAGCTGTGTGACACAGGCTTTCAATTGTGTGGAATTTGTTATAATTTCAAACATTTTTTTTAATCTTCTGGTACATTTTTGCGAAGAATGGTTGTGAATAATCAAGGATGCAGCAATCAGTGCCTTTAGTGTATTTTATCATCAAAAACACTCCAGACAGAGGTGTTTTGCTTCGTTAAAGAGACTATGACCTCCAAGTTTTAAAAAGTGCCTCTTCCAAACAGATTCTACAGGCCTTAACTGTCAAAGTGAATTCTAAAATAATAGCTGTTAAATCTCCCTGTTGCATCAGTGAGATTCAAAGTTAATGTGGGCTCAGAGGGTTGTCTCAATAGAAGCTGTGGGTAATTGTGAGGTACTCAATTTCTTCAAATGTCTCTCATCTGTGCCAGTAATGATGCTTATGGTTGAGCTCAGTTTTATTTTTTTTCAAGGTCAGTGAATTACTGGACTTTTTCAAGCTTTAGGGAAATGGACCCCTCAAAGTACCCAAAATTATTAAGGCTTTGAGTATCCACATTTCCATAACAACTGATCAAGTCAATTTGTTGTTAAGGAGCTGTAATTAGTCTGAAATAGCCACATGCAAAGCAATAATGAAGTGGACTCTCAGTTTAGATCGGTTTCTCAAATTATTATTAAAAAGCAAAAAAATGACTATTTATTGTTGAATTAGGCTGAAAAAGAGTGCCGGTTCTCCATAGTTGGTTGTGCTACTGTCCCTTTCTCTGCCTGTTTCACTGCCTCAGTGTGAAATTCAAACTGCCAGAAACTGAAATGATTATTGCAGGGGAACAGATATTCTGTTTATGTTTGTGATTACAGGTTGTTCACAGTCATTTCGAAAGGCTGCGAGAGGCTTGGGCCCTGTTGAGAGTGTATATTAATTTGATATTAAGTGTGTTAAGAAGAAGAAATTGTGTTTTTATGTTACTGAGATAGTGTTCCCGGTTCATATTCTAACCTGAGACATAAGTGAGTTATGCGGAAGCACTTCCTACAATGCCAATGATACTGTGCACATATCCCTGAATGTTGTACCAGAAAAACACAACGGAGGCAGACCTACTGTGTTTATGCACAAATGACAATCTAAATTTACGTGCACTCAATTTGAACTTGTTCTATATGTTCCATCGACTCCGTAATTGTATTCTAATTTGATTCCTAAACAGCTCCGTTTGGAGCTCAGACTTGTGACACTCTAATTGGAAGATTAAAGTGTCACTTATGGGTGCAGTATCTAATGTTCCCCCCATAACAAACAATCAACAAACAATTTGATTCTAAATGCTCAGAAGGCAGCATGCAAAGACTCATAGCACTTTATTTTTCAGCATGTCATACTGAAGCATTAGTGACACCAGTTTTCTTTGCTAGATCACCAAAATTCAAAGGACTGGCACACCGTAGGACATGTATAATGCATTGCTTAGTGACAATCCTCCCCCTCCTCATTATGTTTTAACCAGTCACACCTAATATGCCAGCGAGGGAGATACCCTTGAACAGAATAGCAATTGCAACAAAAAATAAAACATTCCTGCTGTATATGGCAGCCATTTAGAGAGAAGAGCATGTGGAAGTTAAGATCACAGGTATTTCATTGTGTGCATCTACATCTCTTTATATATCTTACTGTGTTCATTTTGTGCTGATCTACGCAGCATAGTTTATCAATTATTTTCAATTTTTTTAACATAGTTTTTCCAAAGACAGGTATCAAAGAAACACATATGATGTCCTCTGTGTGTCGGTCTACCTCTCTGACACATTTAGCCTGTGTGAGACGTCATAGTAAAGATGAACATTTTGACTTTGCAGGAACCCCATTCTTGATTTGGAACTGTTGGGCCTTTTCAGTCTTTAGTTTGGGTGTGTTGCATGTTTTGGTTACTTAAAAAAAGACCAGTGGAATGTTAGAAAAAAAGTGGACTCCCTAATTGATGACTTCACTTTTAGCTTCCTTTTAGGAGTAGGAAAGTTCCATCCTTTTTTGGTGGTCTCATATTTAGAGGGGCTGAATTTCTTCCTTAAACTTGACACCTGGTTACAGACAGTGTGTTTAATTTCAGTCCTTAAATTTCCATACAACACTCAGTGTGTTTTGCTTGTAAACGTATTTAGATCCTGTTCATGAACATCACCGAACAGGACCAGTGACATCAGTCCTGTCAGAGTGCAATATGCCCAACTGTAATGAGTGACTTTGTGCAGACACAGCTCTTGGATTGGTTTTACGAGGAACTATATAAAGTCAGAGCACCTCTGGTACCCGTGCATCTGTATCTTACAGCATGCCATAGAACTCCCTAAAGGATTACGTCATGGGCTTTCTCAAAGTCTGAAAACACACGCAGACTAGGTGGTCAAACTCAAACTCCATTATGAGCTTTTAACATCACCTCGGGCTAATCTCGTTCATCCCCAGGGCTTTTCTGTCCAGAAACATGTTAACACTAACAGCCTCGACGTGATGAGGGGATCTTCCCTCAGATCAGTCCTCAGATATTGCCTCTTCAGAAGAAATACGGGCTGGATTAAGCAGATCCTGAAACTGCTCCTTACAGCACTTAACAGTATCACCAGGGTGGGTAAGCAGTATTCCATCAAAACCAACTTGGGACAAGGCCTGCTTATCTCCTATGAGCCCTCAAATAACTGTTCAGAACATCACCAAAGCCTATCAATAATCCTTTTCTATGGCCATTTTCAAATTGAATTCCTCCACATCTGAGTATTAGCTACTGATGACAAAGGGTTTTTGGCCACTTGGTAACTGTTAGTTTACCCAACAACCCCACCATCAACCCCCAACACATTGTTGGGGGTTGTGAAACAATGTTCATTTATAGATGATGGCCTGTGACTATATAAGCCTTACTCACTCCAGAGATGGTAGGTTCTTTCAGATTGTCTCTCTCATAGCCGTCTTTCGCATATCAGATTTATTTTTTCAAATGCTCAAGTGTCACATCTTATTATCTTTTCCTGTTTATTTGTGGGCAAATGTAATAAAACACAGAGTCATGATACAGATAGTCCTCAGATTCCTTGAACCCAAAGTGAACCCGTTCATTTAATGTGTACAATGCACGAGATGGGTGGCATTGCGTGTGGATGTGAGTGAAAAAAGCATGCGAGACAGACGGATGAAAAAAAGAACAAGAGAGTTGAAGATATGTGATGTGTATGTGTTTTGGCTGTAAATCAGTATGCTAATGAGGCATGGTCTGTAATCCTCTTACAGTTAATCTCACCCAATCCTTCCAGTCCAGGCCTGGGCACTGCTCACACACACAAGCAAGCCCGAGTGAACAAAACACACACATGCAATATTTCTCCCAAAAAGAAGATACAAAACCATTTCTGCACACGTATAGCGTGACTTTGATAGTCGACACAAAAAAAACGATTTTGACTCGAAAACCCAAATGCTCTAAATGTCAAGTGTTGTGTCGAACTGCATGGCTGCTGTGTCTTAACCTTAACAACAGTGTTTGAGCCACAGAGAGATGGGCATATCATCTCTAGGTTCATTATTTTCGTTATTCCTGATTGTGTGTGATAAAGGCCAAGGTGAACTTTGCTATTCACAGGACGAGGATGCTGGTCTGCAACATGAATACTGATTATCTGCCTAAGTCAAAAGTAGTTGTGTGTGTGTTTGTGAATATTATGTAAATGTTTTATTTATTTATCTATTTTAGTACAGTCATCATAAGTCATGTGGTCAGATGCCTGTTTTTCTTAGTGTTGCTATGGTGATGCAGCAAAAGGTCACTTAGGATGTTCACTACCAAGACCTTGCCTGTGTGCGCCTGTGTGTGTGTGTATGTACTTCAGTCTGCTACAGGCAGCAGACAACATAAGAATGATTAGGCTCAGCCTTTTTCCTTGACTAGAGAGGACAGCACTACATGTGAGGGTATGTGTATACATGTAGGCAAGCATGTACGTGTGAAGGATATAGTAGCGTCCTGTAGGAATTTCTGCCAGAGCTGCTGTGACCCTGTGTGCCTGGATTGCCACATGCGTTATTCTTTACTTACATCTGGTATACATATCGATACATTAAAGCAGAATTAAAGCCTCAGTAGAGGAATACAAACACAGTCACACACTTACAGCAGACACACAACTAAAAGCGTGGCTACTCAACACCAGGGGGCTGACAAGGTATTCTTCTGCTGTGAATTTTGCTGCATACCTAACATTCGGTATGCACAGCACATCACCCTCCTAATCTCTCTCACTCTGTCTTTGTTTGTGTCTTCTTCTCATGCCTCGTTCTCTCTTGCATTCTTTCTGCTTTCTCTCCTCACCTGCCCTGCCGCCATGGGCCTATCTCATTCTCCCTAATTTTGACCTCCCTTTATCTGCTCACCTGCCCCCCAACCCCCCCATCTACCTCGTCTCTGGTATATTCGCTTTTTTGCTATTGTTTCCTGGAATTTTATCATCTCCTTCTCTTTTTCTGCCCTCCTGGACCATATAAACAGTATATCTTTATACTTTGACTCTGAGTTGTGTATTAACTGATATCAGCCTGATACAGTGTATGGGTATTCCACTTCCTACATTTAAAGGTGGCATAGGTTTTAAAGGTTAAACAGAAATGCTGAAAGGCATCTATCTTTCATGCTTCTCAAGCTCATTTCTTTTCTATTCTCCCGCTCTGTACAGCAATCAAAGAGCTCTCCCCCCCTCCTCTGAATCTGCGGCGTCTCTACACTGAGACAATGGAGTGGGAGCCAGTGTTAATCATCATCTCTCCGGGGGCAGACCCATCCCAGGAGCTAGCAGAACTAGCAGCAGAAACTGTTGGCAGGGACAACTATCATGAGGTAGTAAATAACAGAATAGACAGACTGAAGTCACAGCAGATTAGCGAGTGCAAGGGGATTTTTCTGCTGTACAGCAAAATCACTACCACAGACGATTCAAGTATGCAACTAAGTGGGGAAAGCTAAGCTTCCTACAACTTATTGAACGATACATTGCAACACAGCTTTGAGGCATAACTCCTGATAATTTTCCACCAGCGTAGTTAATCAGTGGTAATACATTTCAAATTGAAAGGAAGTCTTAGTAAAACGCACCATATTCACAAAGGCCTTAATTTATTCAATTAGTGTAATGCAGCTAAGTCTGGATTTGAAAGATGCAATAAGCCACATCTGCACCTGACTGTGCCACGGACTCTAAGGACTGAACAACAAGAAATAAATAAAAAAAACCTGTGTATCTTACAAATGTACTGTAACTTAAAGTAAATGGATGCTTTTTGTTCTACGTTTTAATATAATTTGCATTCAACTTGCTGTGGGATATGATTAATTGCAAATTATGGATCTCTACAGATTTTGTGAATTTCAATTATGTAGTTGTGGGGTGTATTGTTGTTATATTTCAATTACACTTAGCTGTACAACACATCTGATAAGTTGTGGGAGACTCTCTTGTTTTCGGGACCTTCATAAAAAAATCCCACTATGTCCTCAGTTTTACTCACTGAGGACATAGACAAATTAAAAAACTGAATCAAAATACAGGCCCAAACTTTTGAGAGATTGCAATGCAGAATCAAATTTTCCAACCCACTGATTCCTTTTCTCACCCACTCCCATCCTCCCTACCCTCTCTGTCTAGATCTCCATGGGTCAGGGACAGGCTGATGTGGCCTTAGCCACACTCAGGGAATGTTCTCGAAATGGAGACTGGCTGTGCCTGAAAAATCTTCATCTAGTCACCGCCTGGCTGCCCCTCCTGGAAAAAGTGAGTACTTTTTGTGTGGTTTGTGTGTGTGTCAGTTTATGAGGTAAAAGGGTATTAAAAACAATCATCCTTGTTTGTGTGTCTGAGTGTGTTGTGCTTTTTGCTGATGAAGATTGTGGTCCAAGATATTATTGTTTGAAATTACGGAACAATTACACCTGAGAAAGACGATCGGTAATCAGTTAAAGAGAGACTCATCACATTGACTCTGTTACTACCAGGGGATTATGTATATTTGATATGGATGTGAGTCGTTCCATAATCTTATTGCATTAATTAGCATTGACCTAACATTTTGTCTAAGATAATGGAGTTTCTTGATTCACACCTGTGGATAGGCAAGTTTGCATCTGGACCTGCAGATATGGAACAAAACGGCAAATAAAGTGTACTCTAAAATCGGATTAGTCCAGCTGGGCCCCCTCTCCATGACCGTGTTGAGGAGTCTCTTGAAATATAAAGGTCTTGTGACCTTTCAAAGTCTTAAAGCCCCGCACCAAGGAAGCTGAAGTTTGACTGCCAGAGTGTTTATTAATGAAGTACATGTCCTGCCCCACCACCACCCCCGGTGTACATACCAGGGTAATTCATTCAAGAAACATTAGTCAAGGTGACTGAAAATGGCCGGAGTCCCAAAGTAAGTACAAATAACTGCATCCATCCATGGAAGCAAGAGAAATCACGTCATCTTCACTCTGCATCGACAGATGGAGTCAGACTTAGGAGGACACACAGGCGGAAAAGGACAGCCTGGAGGATTTTGTGTATTAATAATGTGTAGTGAGTGCAATTCACTGTTTTAGCACAACCTGTTGTTTTTTTTGTTTTTTTTCCATAACATTATTCTCAGACAGAAAAACAGATTTTGCTCCTGTCCCTAAAATGACTTCCTGTCCTTTGCTTTCATTAGCATTCCTCCTGTCAGTGCATGTTTGGGATATTTGTGGTCTTTTAGTTGTATTTGTGACCGTGGATGTTTTTTGTCTGGACATGTATAGGTGTGAGTATGCACATTCATGTAAGGCAAATATCAGTGTGTGTCATTTTCTTGTAGTATACTTATCTGCTGTAGTGAATTTCGGCTTTTGTGAGGGTTTTTCTGTGTCCTGGAATTTCTTGGATTCGATGTAGGTTCCTGTGCTTTTCCTGGGGTTCTCTTTAGCATTGTGTCCCTATACTAGGTCATTTCTCACTGGAGGCACAGCTGTCGGTCATGACTGGCCAGTGCATATTTGCGTGCATCCATGTGTGTGTGCTGATGCCCTCATGTGTGACAGGCTGAAGCGTATGCACCTTTTCTTGTTCATCTCTCCTCACCAGTCTTTTTTTTCTCCCTCCGTGTGTTTTCTTCTGCATCTAATTCTTTCCACCTCCACATCCTCAGCCACTCACTGGTTCTTGAAATTCTTATTTTTCTTATTTCCAAACTCAAATTGTATGACTCGAACTCTCTTTCCATCTGGCTTTCCATGTCATTCACTCTCTGTTTCTTTGTCTTGGTCTTTTGCACAGCGACCAATGAGTTTAGGGTCTCAGCAGTGAAGCCTGAAATGAAAAACTGACATAACAGAAGGAACAAGGGAAATAGAGGGTAAAAGAAAGAAAGGCTGAAGAAACTAAGGCTGAAAAATTGAGAAAGGAGGGATGAATGAGGTGAGCTGCAGAAATCAGGTGAACATTTCTACCAGGAGATGGATGTCTCTCCGGATCTGCCCGCGTTTCTGTAGCTTGGTCCATCTGCTCAGTCATACTGTATCTTTGAGTGTAGTTTCAACATTTTCTTGCTTCTTTTGGCCATCTGTCCCTGTCATGCTTGTCTCCCTATCTGAATCAGTTGGTCAGTCAAAGAGGAGAAGAGAAAGAAAGAGTGGTCTGTGTTAATAATTTAAGTTGATAGCGCAGATGTCATCTTATTCCTGTCCGATCACATTCTTCCTCCTTACTCTGCGTTAGGGTTTTTTTGTCCCCATTTTCACGTAGGCCACTCCGTCCAACTCCTTATGTACCTCCCTCAGTCTGTCGATATTTTTAATTGTATGTTGTACTTTATTGAAATAGTGATGGATCAGTAGTCTTACTTCATATTTTTGTAACAAGTAGCATGTGTTTCAGTCACATCTGTTGTTATACAATTGTAATCACTGATTCAAATATGTTGTAAGGATTTCATTAAGAGTCACTGACTCTAATAATTCTTATCGCCAGTGTGCAGACACTAAGTCTGTTTATCTGTGAGCACATGAACAGTGTTGCTTCAACGCTGTGAACCGCATGCAAATTTTCCAACAAAGATTTTTGATGTGCAAATACTGAAAGAGATTTCTGCTCTCCCTCTATCTTTATCCTCCTCTCTGCATCTATGTCTTCTAATTCTTTCATTGCTTTTCATCTTTCTGCAACACCATAATCAAATCTAGGGGAATTCTGATTAATGACCTATCATACAGAAATCAGGCATAAACACATTGAAGATAATTCCTTCAAGGGTCGTCACGTCTCCTCTTCTTTGATTATCTGCGATCACGGGAGCTTCCAGGAGAATGAATTGGGCTTTGAATGATGCAGAAACACATTGATTATAGTTCAGTGTGTGTCACTCTGTTTAAGTGCCCAATCAGATGACACAAGACCCTAAGCTGCCAGCATGCTATTCTTAACTTTTAATGTTTGATGAATACAAAGTAGGGGGCAGAATTTAAGACAAGTGATGGGGGAAAAAGGGGTAAAATAATAGAAAGATAGATATTAAAAATACACAAAACTAAATGCAGTAAGAAAAAAAGATGGAAAGTAGAAATGTTATGATATGAAAATTAGATTAATGTTTTGTAACTGTAGATGCATATAAAAATAGGGCGCACATAACTTCGGGCAGAGGGAAAACGCACACCAAACTGCCTCATGTGCTGTGATTTCATATTTGATCACATTTGTCTGGATGATTAATGCATCTAATGTATGCGCTGACTCTCTCCACAGGAACTGAATGTGCTGCGTCCCAAAGCAAGCTTCCGTCTCTGGCTGACAGCAGAAGTTCACCCCAGGTTTCCTCCCATTTTGCTGCAGTCCAGCCTTAAGATCACTTATGAGGTATGGGCACACACATACACCATAAAATCCCCTCAGTAAAAAAATAAATGTGGTTGGACATTGTCTTCTAATTCATGTAGTGCAACATTCCACACAAGAATGTTACCAAACATTTACGGAACGCTGTCTGCAGATGCCTGTACTGCTATGGGTATAAAGAGCATTGCTAATTATCATAATTTCCTCCCCAGACTGTTGGTGTTTCTGTGCCTTTCCTACTCTATAGAATCTGTAAGAAGAGGCAGAAGCCCACAGCTTGTGTGGTAGTAATGCATGCTTTAGTGCTCAGTGTGTTCTTGATGGGAGTCATGCTCATGGGGTTAGCTGCTTCAGCAGCCAAGCATGCTGCACAAACAGCCTCTGCCTGTCTGCCTCTCTCTTTGTCTGTAAGCCAGTCTTCTGCACTCCCCCCTCTTAGATACACTCGCACACTTTCACATGAGCTCACAGACATTCTTCACAATACGCATCTGCACACATCATGAACACTCAGGATTGTACAGACAGGATTAGCTATATTTAGGTTGTGGCTGATGAAGCACGCAAGTTAGCAACATATGCAGTGAAATAGCCAGTTTTGGCCAAATCAGCTGATGGGTTATGCCTTTATTTACAATCAAAACCTCCAGATGGAGATACCAAATGTTCAGCAAAGCTGAATTCAGTATAATTGTTTACTCATTTTTGTTTTTTATTTGTTTTTTTCCCCAATAAATGGAACAGATTGTTGGAGGGACAATCAATTATTTTGCCGAGTGATCTAAATTACAATATGTGCAGAATGATATGGTAAATATACTAACCGAATGAAAGTATTATAACTCAGTGCAGCATTTTTGTACGCATTTCTGATGACTCTCAGCATGGAAGAGCACTCAAAGTACCTCATATCATGGATGGTGGTTCCTTTCTCATTTATCTTTTTTTCTAATAATGCTTTTGGTATTTTAATGGACAACTGACTGTGGGCTAAAGATTACTACAACAACATATAATTAAATCCTGGAAAGATTTTCAGCCTGTGTGGTAATCTTTTTCCTGAGCTTGATGACATTTAGTGAGACAGGGCTTTCCAGTTCTGACAACACTAAAATTCATTCATTATATGCGGTGAAAGAATCACTCAAGTTTCTTTTTACTCATAGTTAGTAAAATGGTTGATCCTTATACATTTTTACCTATATTGAACATTAAAATCTGGGTATGGTTACATAATATAAACTTTAAATTACGTAATAAAACACTTTTCCTCCTCTTTTGCTTTACAACCTTATTCATGTTGCCCTTCCTGCCTTTTCTTTGCCATCTGCAGGCTCCTCCAGGGTTGAAAAAGAATCTGCTGAGAACATATGAGTCCTGGACTTCAGAGCAGATCAGTAAAGGTTACCTCTTCTCTTCTATCTGCCTTGAACTACAAGACATGAGCTTAGAGATATACATATTATTAATTATCCTCTTCCCACTCCCAGTGCGCCGCTTACCCTTACACCGATGGGACTCCTTTGCCTCACAGTGAAACAAACTATGTACTATTTTCTGCTTCCTTTCAACATGCCAGATTAACATTGTTTTAGGAGATACTTTAAGCCACCTAATGTTCGTTTTCAAATCTAACTAAGCCAATAATCCTTTGCAAACAAAGCAAAGCTAGAAAAAAAGAACTATGGTCTTCAGTTGGAAGCTGTAGCAACTTCTATCTACGCCGCCTCTGTACTTCTGCGAGGCTCAATTTTTCATCCTATGTCAAAATTTGCTGTACCTTTTGCGAGTCTTAGTTTTTAAGTCCGAGGGAGTGAGAACAGATGTTTTTTTTTGCATCTATCATGAAGTTACATTTCATTTTCTTTTATCTGAATACTTAGTTACTATAATTCATGTCAGAGAATACATTGCAGATTATTCATGTGAACAAAATTCCTGGTTTGTCTACAGTTCATGGAGGGGAAATTAAAAGCAATGATTGTGTCTAGAAAACAGCATTCAAACAAATCTGAATCATTACTGAGCAAAGACTGCATGCCTGACTCCCCTCTTTGTTATATCTTGTATTTTCTTTAATGAATAATAGAGAAATAAATTCCCTTAATTTATTTCTCAGATAAGGATTGAGTGTCGTAGTTATTTTGGTTGTGACTTTTTGTTGATTCCTTGTGTGTAGGAGGTAATCTCACCAGAGCCCAATCTCTTTTCTGCCTGGCTTGGTTCCATGCTGTTTGTCAAGAGAGACGGAACTACATTCCACAGGTAAAATGATCAGACCTATCTGTGTAACTGCTGCAGATCTGCATTAAGGTAGAAATATAGTTAACTAACCAACTTTTTGTCTATCATAAACCCGAAAAACTGTTCAAATAAAATTAATTCTTCAAATAGTTCACAATAATGACTAAAAAATGATGTCTCCTCAGAACCATTTACACATTTTAAACAGGTGAACTACCTAAGAGGTCATCCATGTTCCAGAACATGTGAATTTAAATGCACAGTCATTTCTGACCAACTCATTAGCTACAGACACAGCATGGCCACCCATAAAAAAAAAGACCTCAGAGGTCAGTTTCTCTCCCTTTTCTTATTAAACCTTACCCACAAGCACAGCAAACATTCTGTGAAGGGCCTCAGGCAAAGTCTTTTTTTAATATGTTTATGCCTGTGACTTTCAAAGCACAATTTAGAGAACAGCCTGTTCACCTGATATTTTTATGCATATTGCTTGTAGCGTTATGGATTTGCTGTGTCCAAAACAAATACATTAATCCCTTTACTCACCAAGTTTTCAGGTCATGAAAACATGACTTTTTTTGTGGATGTCTCTTACTGATAAAATACCTTAAGAAAGAAGACGTTCCTCCCTCTGTGGAATTGCATTCAAGTATGTATTAAACTCTATCGGTAGTCATTTAAGGTCCAAGATGACTCATTCTTAGTCATCATTTCAATGCATGCTGAGTCTGGCACTTTCAAATGATTCTGTCATTATTATACAGATTATTTGATTTTCAGATTTATGTTTTCATTTTTTAAATGAGTTTTTATGTTTCAAAGACTCATAATTTCAATGCTTCATGTACCACATTGTATCAAAATTTAACTATCTGGATCCACTTTCAAATTGTGGATCCATATGTCACAACTTTGTACCCGTTTTATCAAAATTTTCTAAACTTTTTTAATCTTCCTGGCAAACAAATGGAATAGACAGGGATGCCGTTGTCACAAAGAGAAACAAGCAGCCAGTGCTATGTAGACAAAACAAATGCAAACATGTCCCGTTCCACCAACGGTATCAGTGGGCCGATTACAAGTGCTGATGAAATATCAGTGAAGTGCAACAAACACTCTCACAAACTGAAACAGCACTCACTCTGTTACATTTGATTAACTCTGTGATTTTATTTATTTCATTAGACTTCTGGTTATTGTATGTAAGCAGAGAAATGTGCTTTTTGGTTTTTAAATTTAGGTACTGAGGGATAACAGCAGTCTTGTGTTTTCAACCCTAAAGTTTATCCACTATTGCTTTTCCAGTCTGGACTGAAGGGCAGCAGGGTCACACACGGGTCCGTCTTTTTCTCTGCAAAAATGGGACTAATCTTGCAACAGAGGTTTTCTAGTGTTATGATTGTGATGTGCAATGGTTAGAGGGTAGAGAAAGTGACACCTAAGTAAAAACAGGCGTATAGCAGTCTATGCTCAATAGCCCTAAGCTGTTCATCCAACATAGGGAAATTTTGTTGCAGCACTTTGCCGTCTAAAAATGTCAAGTGTGTCTCGACTTTACAGCAACATGAGAGCTCAAGTGGTTTTAACAATCAGTCAATTTGGTAGCCCTTATCAGACAACAAAATACATTGAGCTGTGCTGACTTTGCGTACTCATATGAAAGGGAAAGAGAAAATGTGTGATGACTTTCTGTATAACTTGTACTCAGTAAACTCTTGTAAATGAATATCAATATGCTTCTTTTTCAGGGTTGGACTAAGTTTTATGAGTTTTCTTTGTCGGACCTCCGTGCTGGCTTTGAGATCATTGACAGGCTTTTTGAAGGTAAGATGGCTGATGAGTTATTACAGTGTACCGAACAGCTCTTGATGATTTGTTTTGGCATTTTTTAACATATTTTTGATAAAGCTAGAGGGTTATCCGTACAATGTTGCTTTATAATGCCGAGTTGGACATACATGTGCATTACCATTGTGGCCACCATTGTAGTTATATGAATAAGATCTGTTTTGTTTGTGTGTATTTTCGAAACAAACAATGATATCCATTATTTTCAAGCTATTTTATTAAACCTCGGCTTACATTCTTGCTTTATTATCATCACTGTATGAATCACTGAATGTGCAGCATTCCGGTCAGTTAGTGTACGTCATTGTGTTCACTTCATTTCCCCAAAAGACACAGCCTTCTACACGAGAATGACTCTAATCACCGTTCTCTTCCCTTTGAGTGCACGCATTCCTCATGCTTATGGCTTTTCTCATGTGTTTATATTTCTTGTTTTATCGAAGGTGGTAAATTTTTCCAATGGGAGTTTGTTCACGGCCTGTTGGAGAGTGCCATCTACGGCGGGCGAATCGACAATCCCTCTGACCTCAGGATTTTGCGCTCCTACCTTGAGCAGTTCTTCTCTGCACGGCTCCTTTCATCATCCCTTTCGGCTGGACAGAGGAGAGGCAAGGGAGGAGCACGTATTTTTCCACCACAAATCAGCCTCCCAAACTCCTGCTCCATATTGGTATGCTGTCAGAATGACACAGCTATATGCACAAGCACAAAATTGCGATTGCAGCCTTGGATGCTCTACCAGGGAGAAAGGAAATGAAATCATGCTACAGGGAAAAGGTTTCTTGACTTGTAAGGCTTAAGCTTTAAAAGCTTGAGCTGAAGTCTGAGTTAAGCACAAAAAGCTTAAGCAGAGACTTGTGGGTTTTGCATTTCTTAATTGCACACTGGAAAAGAAGCAAACATTTCAGAATATTTCACTGAAAATAAGTTTACTTCAGATCTACACAAGTGGTTTTGTTCTTGAATTACCTCAGCATTCTGTTTTCTTCTAATATTAACACAAAATCAATAAGATGCTAACATGTATATTTGCTTTCCTATTTTTCTCCTTTTCAGCTTTATTACAAGAACACATGCTTTCAATTTTGAAATTGATACTTTGGCAATATGTTTGTGCAATTTAAGGGAGATCAGGACTCAGATTGACTTACTTTATCCAAAGGAGATACACTTAAGCATTATTTAGAGATTTAACAAGGATGGAAGAAAGTACTAATTGAATTTGATTGCACAAGAACTGAATGATATTTTTTTCTCCTCCTTTTTTCCATGTGTGTGAGGCTGTATTTTGCTTTGACCAGTTTGTTTGTCTGTGTCCTTTCAGGACTACCGCAGTGTAATAGAGAATCTCCCAGAGGATGACAGGCCTGCATTCTTTGGTCTACCCGCCAACATAGAGAGATCCTCACAGAGAATCACCAGCTCACAGGTGCACTCACACACAATCAAAACCACACGCATACTTAAAGCTGCTGACTCCCTTATGCAGGCATACAGCAGCACAGAATGAAAACCATCCAATCATTTACATATTGTCATACACTTACATAAACACTAAACCAACTTTATTCTGCAGGATTCAACATTCGAAGGACAGTGTCAGAGAATCAAACTTTTCATTTGTACAAAAGCTTATATCTCATGACGTCAGAAATGTTTTGAAATGTTACCTCTGGACTGAGGTCAGGTGACTTTAGAGCCGGGGTCTCAAACTCCAGTCCTCAAGAGCCGCAGTCCTGCAGGTTTTAGATTTTTTTTAAATTCTGCACAACTGATTCTGATTAAATTGGATCTCCTCTGGACATTGCTGAGCTTTTGCCAATGGCTCTTTGATGTGAATCAGGTGTGTTGAAACAGGGAAACCTCTAAAACCTGCAGGACAGCGGCCCTCGAGGACTGGAGTTTGCAACCCCTGCTTTAGAGGGGTCGACCACACTAGTGCTGATCTTGGATCTGCAGTTGATTCTTGTGAATCTTTGAGGTGTCATCACTTACCAGCACAGTACCAAAGAGAGCAGTGCGGAACACTTCTTCCTGGTAAAATCAGTGAAACTCAGATGGCCAGCTAAAGATAGGAGAGCTCTTTGGTGTCTGAGAAACATTGCACTCTATTTGAAGTTGGTGGTTTGTGGAAAACAAACCAGAAATTGAAACCAGAGATTGTACTGCTGCAAAGTTCAGCAGTACACCGGATCAGGTTTGGGATATACTGCCTGCTATAATACACTGAATGACCAAATCTTCCCATCAGTAGATTTTTCATCCATGGTGACTTGTGCAATTTGAGAATGCCAATGCTACGATGTCTATGCCTCAAACTGTGAGAGAGTGGCTGAACAGAAGACATAATTTTCCACACATTGGCCTCCACAGAGTCCAGACCTTCAGGCAGTGTTCACATTAACAAGATACTTTAACACTCAGTAGTGGGCAGGCCTGATGCTTTGAGTTGTACCGACAGTCAAAAGATCAGACGTTCGATTAGTAAGGCCATTTGATTGGTTCGCTACAGCTTTTAAAAGTGAAATTGGTCTCAGCTTTCCACCCTAGATTAAGTCAGTTCGTGAGTGTGAACATCACTCCCTTCAAAGTTAATTAGAAGCAAGCCGTTGATATCTGAAGTGCATACATATGAATCTGGCCTAACCTCAGTGAGAATCTTGATGATGTGCTGGAGAAGATTTCATGCAGGGCTCCAGCTCTCATATCAGAATTTAAAAATGACACAACTCTGAATGGATCTGAGCTTATCAAAAGAATGCCATGGTAAGGTAATCCAGCTAAATAAATGGCCTGCATGGTACTGATTTCTTAGATACCGAATGACGAGATAATGTATGGTTCATAAAGAGATGATCTCTCCTCAGATGGATTTCTCTGACCTGTAATATGTGTTAGTTGTGGAGAAAATATCCTTATTTTTCACTTTTCAGTTTTTTTCTACTGTCAATGTCTTACTTTGACTACACTAACGGATATTCAATTCAAGAGGGTATTACAAAGGTGATTTTACCATGCTGTCAGGGGAAATTTTTTGAAGAGAAAAAAAAAAAAAGACAGGTAAGAAAGTGAAGAGATCAGAAACTGCAATCAGCCAGGAAAATGGCACTACTTATCTGAGGTGGTTTTGCAGTGGCTGAATGATGTGTGGTTCCTTGGATTCAATTTAACTGCTCAGAAAAGGTTTGGTGAAACGTTTTCCTTATACAACAAAACATAACTTTTTTATGTAACACAAAATGAATGAATGAATGAAAGGTTTAACATAATTTGAGCATGTTTATAGTCTGTAATCATGTGTGAATACACCCAACAAACATACATGAAGCGGGCATACCTGTTAGAGCTTGTGTGAATAATCCCTGTGTGGTTGTTTCTGCAATTAATTTAATTCATACTGTCACTGTGGTCCGCTGATCACTGAAGCCACCGACCCACTTTAATTCATGTAACTCCCACAAGGGCACTTATGTGTGTGTGAGAGAGTCTGTGCAGTACTGAGTCTTTTTCTTCACCTCTCTTCCACATATGTTTCTGTCCCCCCTCCTGCTGTCATCTGTCACTGCCACTTTCATGCTCTTTCTCTCTTTTCCCCTAATATATGCCCTTTCTTTTCCCAAAAGACCCGTGTCACTCTCTGTGGGCAGGGTATATAGCCACACACACACTCAGTCACAGAGTGTGCAGTCCTGCTGGATACCATTTAAGATAAATGTCTGAGTCCTGTATGAACAACCCTGTGTAGGTCAGAACAGTCATAAATGTCTAATGAGAATTTCCTTTGGTTTACAGGCATGCCTGTATGTGTAATATTGTTTAATCCACATATCCTGGGTAAATAAAATGAATGGTACATTAGCCATAGTTAATGTAATAAAACAATTTTTATAAAGATGTAGAGTTGACACAATGTTTCAAATGTGAATGTCTGTGCTGATTATGTAATACTATATCCTGAGGTTGCATGCACTTCTTTTGAACAAAGCTCTCCTCCAGGCAGTGTTCAACGGGGTGTTTTCTTTATGAAAATCCGGTTTACTTTATGATGATGATCCAATCCACATTTTCACACACTTACAAAAGTTTGGATGTCACAGGACAAGTAAATTAAAGTAGGATCAAGTGATTTGCAAACCTTGTAAAGTTTATGTAACTGAAAATATTACTTACCCACTTTGTTTTTTTGTTTGTTTTTTTGCCCAAAGTGGTGAACTATCAGACCAGCAACACAGTCAGCACTGTCTTGAAGAAACTCACCTGATGTAATTCATTCTAGTCTCCATTTCTGTTTGGCCAACTAAGCCAGGTCTATTTAAGTAATGAACCCCATCTCTTGTTATCCTTTGGTCTCAAGCCTTTCTTAGAGCTCATACACACCAGTCAGCCACCAGGCTCTTTAATTAATGTCATTATCAGTTCCTTTGGTGCATTTTCTTAACTGATTCTCTGTAAAGAATTCATAAATCAGTCCTTATGACGTGTTTCTAAATACTTTATAATTTATGGTTTATAAGTTGTCACCATAAGACATGGCCTTTATTTTTACAGCTATGCTGATGACAGACAGCTTTACATGTGTCTCCTGATGTCCCAGGTCCTATAGACCTGCCTTTACTTTGCATCTGTGAAATTAAAACAAGTATAGTTGAAAACTTTCTACAGCTCACCCGAGGCAAAACTGATGTTTTAATGAAGCTCAGAGAGAGAAACAAGTAGAGAAACCTCTTGCTTTAAATCCATCTAAAACAGTGAAGAATCTTGACTTTATCTTTGACAAAGGTCTTACTAGTGAGCAACATACTGTTTTGTTTAATCATCTTAATAATATTACCATTAGAAGACACTTTTACACACTTTTATGGCCTCTAGAATTGATTTTAACAATGCTGCAGCTGCTGGGGTTGTGACCCAGACCAGAGAGCGAGCACATAAAGCGCCAATTTTAGAGAACCAATGCTAAGAATCTTTTAATGGTTTTTAAGGCTCTTAATAGGCTTAGTCATGCCTTTTTATCAGAAGTACTTTCATAGTATTAGCCAGCTAGAACCCTCAGGTCTTCAGAAAGTTTTAAAAAAATGATTCCCTAAGTTTCAGCTGAAATCCAAGTGTAGAGAACTTTCTGCTCCTATTGTCCATGCATGTGGAAAAAGCCTTTTTAAAGACCTGTTGGCAAATTTGAATGTTTTTAAAGCCAGATTAAAAACCTACATTTTTTGCCAAGGATTTTCTGCCCCTCACACATTTTGTCTTCTTTTAACCGTTGTACTTATTTACCCTTTTTGAATTAATTGATATCATTTTAGTTCTTGCCGTGACCCCGTTGGGCATAAGCGGTATAGAAAATGGATGGATTGATAGTGAGATGTTAGACTTTGTCTTTATTTTTGTTCTGCGTTTTATTTAATTTTTTTTCTATTTTATTTTACACAAACTTATATTTTCATTTAATTCTTTAATCTCATCTGTAGTATTTTTCCCCCACTTACGTTGTTTATCTGTAAGAGAAAGGCTGACACATTTATTACTGACTGATAAATTGAGACATCTGTTTTTAGATCCCTGATTACATTAAAGCATGTGCACCCGGAGATGAACAGTTTAATTCTAATACTGAATTCATTAAAACCTGACTTTGTTCAAACATTGCTTCAACATTTCGTTTTTCAATAAGGGAACCTTATGATTGATTTACTATTGAACGGTGTGTACACCTCTACTCCGCTCTGAACTGCGGAGCTGTTATGTCCTCAAATCTTGCTTCCTAGACAGGAATTAGATCAGTGGCGGGCCGTGCATTTTACACCTAGGCCTTCAGTAGTGCTCCGTCTGAATCAATTCACCCCTCAATAACTATTTTATGGTTATAGAAATCATCTTAATATGTAGAAATACAGTAGGGATGTCCCGATCCAGCTTTGTGTATTAAAGTTGATTTTTTTTTTCTACTTACTTAGTTGTCAGACTCATGTTGAACAGGGATTTACTCTTATAACAACTAAAGTTTACACAGACCTGTGGGTTAGGATATGCTAATGCTAATGCTAATGCTCGGGTGGGATCGGACTTTAAAAAAAAATGTATCTGGAGTCTCGATTGGCATTTTCTCATGCCGGCCGATACGATCCAAATATCGGATCAGGATCCTAAAATACAGTCTAAAGATCAGGGGTGCACCTTCTACTCCTGCAGCTACAGCCCCCCAAAAAAACAAAACAAAACAAAAACATCAATAATGTCCTCATAAACTCGCAATACCATTTAGGAAAAAAACAACATTTTACTCACTTACTTTTCTTGAAAAGTCCGTTTTGAAAATGGTCTTGACAGTAAATCCGCCACGAAATAATAAAATAGCTATTACACTAACTAACACAACTATATTTCGGTTTGTTTGCTAGCTTTGCCCTGATTGGATATCTGACTATCCAATCAGCGGGTGTGGGTACGGTGGCATTTCCTGGGCCTTCGCGCAGGCCCTGGCATCACCAACCTAAAATCTGATTGGTTGAAGCAACAGTGTACTCGACATGTATTTTCTGTGGGGGGGGGGGCCTGCAGAACGAATTGTGAAGGCCTCCAGGCAGACATCTTTGACTTTGACCCTGCCTAGCGACAAAGGATGTCTGAAATGTGATTGGTTAAATGCTTTTAGATGAAAATACATGTCTGGAAGCAGCGCAACCAGGGGAGAAGCTATGAAAGGAAGCTGACAGACTATTTAGAGATATTTAATACCTTTTTTATTGACAAAATATCATTGACATCAGTCTGTGATTCAGATATTTTCTTAGGCCTTCAGAGAAGGCCTTGCAGGCCCTGACGGCCCACCACTGAATTAGATGTAACCTGATTCATTTTAGATCACCTTCTATGAGTCTTCACTTTTCTTTTTTCTTTGTTTTTTTCATAGTAAAATACACTATTTCTTACTTGCAATACTCTGTACTTTTTTTTTAGAAAGAAGCTGTATTTGAACCTTCATCTATAGCAATCCATCCTCAGCTGCTATCTGTTTGACTGCTTCAGTCGAGTTTTAATTGGATATCTGATTTTTATTCTGAACCCAATGTTTGATGCTTCTCACCTTCCAAACACACGTGCTTGCACATACACAATCATGTATGCCGCCTTCTCCTGAAGCCAAAATGATAAAGCAGAGTTATCGTTGAACAAATGAGAAACTAATTGATCTTCTGCCTTTTCCATCCTCACCGCACACATATAGAAACTTACAGAAGAGCACAAATGCTCACACACAGAAAAAAAAACACATTCTGCTACACTGAGCCTGAAGCTAAGCTTGATAAGGTGCAGTGAATATGTCTGTTTGAGGTTGCCTCCCGCAGAATTCCAGAAGCTGAGTGTCCGTGTGTAGGAACAGAGTTGTAGATGACATTTTTAGCATGACATAATGTTTTTTATTTGTTGATGTTTTTGTTTAAACCATATCAGAACATATCTTTTCTTTTATGTTCTTCTCATATTTAGGTTGCATTGTTGTAAATGCCAAGTGCTAACTATGATTCTTTATAATCAGACACACACCTAGAGAAAATTATAAAAAGGATGTTTAGTTTTTGTTTATTTCGGGGCACCTATTCACAAGTGTGCCTGCTACACGCACAAAATAATCAGAGCGGATAAAAATTAACTTGTCTCTTTAATTTTGTTTTTTTTTTCTTTTGAAACTTACAGGTAATATCCCAGCTGCGAATCCTCAGCCGCTCAGTGGCAACAGGTTCTAAGTTTGATCGGGAGCTCTGGTCCAATGGCCTTTCACCTATCCTCAATTTATGGAAGAAACTCAACCAGGTCAGTTTTTTGTTTTCAGTTCATCTTTTCCACCTAATACCAAAAGTACACTCACATGTACACACACGTGTTTGTTTATATGTTCTCAATCGTCTTTTTAACCTCTACCAGAATTAATGTGGATCTAATAAAAATTCAGCAGCTGTATTTTGAATCATATGTGCCTCTTTGGAGACCAAAAAGCATTATGATTCAAACAGCATGAACTATTTTAGAATAGCCAAGCCTCAGCATTTTTTACAATGCTCAAGCAGTAAAAAGTAGCCAAGAGATAATTGGAAAGCAGCAGTCAGCGGCTATTGCACACAAAGTAATAGCCCCTGGCTTACCCAGTGAGGCAGCTCTGCTATGTGCTGTTGCTTGGAGACTGGCACCTTTTCTTTTAAAATCAAAAGGACATGTACACCCACATTAAATAATGTATCTACATATTTCCAACTTCTTGCTCTGCTACTCTTCATGCCGTAAAACCTAGATGCTCGCTGCCACTTTCGCACCGTTGCCTTCCTCTCAATGTCTTCTTCAAGAGCCGTCAGAGTTGCTTTGTACAGCCTGAATGAAGAATAATTCACTGTGTTCTGTGTTTTTGGTCATTAGTGCATATGTCTCAGTGAGTTACATGAACTGTCTTAACTTTTTCAATGAATCTTTGTTTTGCCAGAAAAGAGGCAAAAGGACAATGTTTATTTGGCTGTAAAATTATTTTTGATAATACAAACAACATTACCATCATAGTAAAGCATAATGTTGGCCAGCAAGCTTATTTTTTGGGTTGTTTGATTTATCTTTCTCTTTTCATCCACATTTTTTTTCTTCTCTTCTTTCACTTGCTGAGTTAATGCAAGAAAATCTAAATAAACTATAGATACAGAGCTCAAATTCTTTGGTATACATCCAACATCCAAATATCAGTGTGCACATATTTCCTTCTGTTTACTTGGTATGCTTTCCGTTAATCTTTAGTCCACAAGTTAATCCCATTGTTTGTAGTGCAGGGAGAGGGAAAAGCAGCCTTTCATGTCGACATATCATGTAACAGTGCAAAACAAAGTAAGAGGATAAATGTGCATATACTCTGCTTTTTCTTTTATAAAATCCAGGGTTCTACTTTGATCCACCAGAAGGTGGACCCACCTGCAGATAGTCAGAAGTCACCGGTCTTGTCGTTTATTGGTCTGGAGCAGTTCAATGCCATCCGCTTGGTCCAGGTCTGTGAGGCTTTGTCAGTGATGACAGCTCTCTCTTGTTCTCATTAGGTTGTCATTACTGGTGATTTTTGTTTTTTTCTCACGGCATCTATGAAATACGATAGCATGCCACATAAATCAAAATGATACATACAGTACATCTCTACCGAATGGAAGGACATAGAAGTTCATGAGTTGTGCTTCGCAAAGGTGACCACATGGTCCTAACATAAAAACTTCAAATATGTAATCATCGATTGTATCCTTCATAATTTAGTCACAAGCCCAGGCATGCCTAGATATTTAAAGCTAAATAGGAAACCTCTTACTTCACAGATGTTCCCTGATCTGCAATATTTATTGTTACATCTTATTACAGAATATCCACCAGTCTCTGGCAGCACTGAGTAAAGTCATCCGAGGAACCCAACTTTTAACCCCGGAAGTCCAGAAACTGGCCACAGCACTGCTTAATCAAGAGGTAAGAATAAAAGACATTGAGTACAACAGGAAAAAAGAACAGGTTTAAGAACAAAAAGATAAGATTAATACATGTTCAATGCTAGTATTTCTGTGCTGGTATTTGGTTGAGTACCAAGATAACATTTTTCAAAAGTCATTAACATATAACTTAAATAAAGATCAGGGAAAATCAGATTATCTTATATTTTTAACAATAAAACCTTGATGAAGCACATAAATTGAAAATGTTTTTCAATAAGAGATTTGCAGATAGCTCTTAAAACTTTGATGTATCTTCCCATGAGTTAGGTTTATAGTCATCAATTACAATATAAGATAAATCTTTCCCATCTCTGTATTAAGTATACCACTGCCCTGTGTATTCTCAGGACTGGATCAAAGAGAAGTTTCCATGCAATCTCTTTCAGTATCTTGGTAGCTTTTTCTTTGGCTTCTTATAAACTGAATTTATATGGAGTTTAATGCATTTGAATTATTGTAATTATGACTGTAGTACAATAATTCCGATATTAGCTTGAATGGCTCCATGTTTCAAGTGCCTTGAGACAACATATGTTCTGATTTCGTAGTACTTAGATAAAACTTAACTGAACTGAAGTGGTGGAAGATAACATTCTTCTCAATATGTGGCAAAGGTGAGGCTACAGGGGCACATATACGGCATACACAGCTGACAAGTATACATCATGCTTACATGTTACCAGCCTTGTATGTCTCCAGGTTAATTTGAGGGCAAATGGAGATGATGAAGTCGAGAAGAAGAGATAAACATTAAACTTTACTCCTTCTATGTTTGAAATCCACTGAGTGAATCCTTGAGCTAAATTAAATTTTCACTCCAATATTCCCCTTTCATTTTGTATTAATAAGCAGGTATCTAATCTCATCCCTATAGTCACCCAACCGACTTTCTCCTGCTTCATCTCTCATGTTTTCCCCTTTATGCTTCCTTTTCCTTCTCTCATTTCTCCCTTTTCTCCACCATGGTCTCGCACCCTTTTGCAAGTAATGCTATTGAATATTAATATTATATCAATAACAGATGGGTGTTTTACATATTGATGTACTGTTTGTGTACCATGGCAGTGGGATTATATAAGACAAAGTCATAGTTCCAAATTATCTTCTGAAATCAGTGTAGTTATGTGATGTAAATTACTAAACATATGATGGATTTACAAGAGCCTATATACCTATGATGGCATTATATTAAATCAAGATATATACATTCAATTAACAGTCATTTATGTCATGGTGCTCTTAAGAGCCTGAGTAAAAGCATCTGTACTTTTTCCTGGATCTTGAATATGTTTCATCACTCATTGAAAAGACTTGTATCGCTTCTGACTGATGTTTGTTACTATGGCTATGGCAAAAATCCTAATCATTGATTTTAATGAAATAACATTAACATCAGTGACATGGTGATAGTTTATTGAAAATGCACAAGTGTAGTTTACAACATCTTGGTCTTTGTAAAATTCCCAGTGTCATAGTCCCATATTTCCTTGAAAGGTAAGAATTTACTTAATAGCTGCTATATAACAATAGATGGTGCACTCATCTTCCTCATCTAGAGTAGCCCTGAGGGATTCATCCAAACATGGCTCTAGAGCAGAGCATTTGGATTTTTTCATGGCACCCACAGGTTATCGTACACTGGAAGCAGATAGAAAAGTGAGCAGAATGAAAATAGTTGCTATCCATAACTTCATCACTAGATGTCATTAGATCGTTCACACTGGTTCTTAAATAATCAAATTAGCAAAAGATGAATTGAAAAAAGGAAGACATGAAAAAAGGATAAGAATGTTTTTTTCTTAGTTGACTGAATTTGAAATAAAAAACATTGTATTGACACAGAGGTGAAGGGAGACAGAGTTAAACAGAAGAACTCATCTTTGAGCAAAAGTGGCCGTCTCCAGTGGTCATAGCAACTACTGCAGGATAAGCCTTAATGGATCTGGATCTGCAAGAACTCCACAGAGAGGATTGGAGATACACCCCATACTGAGCTGACAGCAATTAACCCTCTGCCAAATGTGTAATGTTCAAGAAACCCTCAGAAATGCAAAGACAAAGGGCAGTACACATCTTATTTATCTCCTTGGTTTGGGCAAAATCAGCTTTGAAAACGCTCTAAGATTTTGGACCAGTAACACAGGAAAAAAAAACATCTTTATCAAAGGCACTACAGCACTATAATCATATTATTTGTTATCTCATTTTCATGATTGTTGGAGGCCAAAATGGTAATTGCTTTTTCCTTGATGGTTATTTTAAGATGTTCTCTGAGTTTGTGTTTTGCATATTCAAGAAGTAGCATTTCAATGAGTTCTTTGATATTCAAAGGAGCGCATTTTATTTTCTTTCTGTAGGGAGGCACATCTCTATTAAGTTATATCATGACCTGTTTTTTTTTGTTTGTTTGTTTTTTCCAGTTCCTAATTTTCTGGTTTAGGTTATACTAGCTTATTTACAGCTTCTTCCAGAGCCTATGTGTGCGCCTACATACACTTGAATACTTTTGAAACTTGTATTAGTTTGTAAATAACCAAAAACAAATTAAAAATATTCTAAACAACCAATAAACAAAAACAATCATCATTAAAAGGCCCTTCAGGAGAGTTGAATTGGTCCTCACCAGAACACAATATATTCAACATGTATTCCGTTTGTTTCCAACAGTTCCAACTAACGATTTAAAAATACTTAATTGCTTTTAATATTTTTACACTGCTTGGTTGTTGCTATGCATAAAAAACACAGTTTGTAAATTAGCATCAGTAAAGGGTGTGATTTATGCTTCTGACATCACAGGGTTTAACCAGCCCTTTCTGATTACCCCCGGTTTCAACCAGAGAAAAAGAACAGAAAGACCTGGTGAGGTGATTTATACATTTGGAGTTCGGACCATTTGGATCATATTAATATAAAGTATGGCAGATTAAGCTCTAAAGGCATCACCTCCAATGGACTTCTCGCTGTACAATAAAATCTATTCAGATAGAGACTGCCTTTAACTAATATAGTTGATAAAAATGATTTTGTTTTCTGCCCTCAGTGACTGTCAAACCTTTCGATGATCATAGGACACATACACGTATTTGTACCATGAAGCAGTGAGGGATTTAGGTTCAGCCTGGTTATTTATCTCGTTACACACTTCTACATGACAACACCCAAACACGCAGCAGGGGTGGTGACTGAACTGTGGATTTGCCACTGAGAGATGCTCAAAGTCTATCCATTATGACATTCATGTTCAAATTACCCCTAATTCTCAGCGCTCAGTCTCCCACTGTGCACATTTGTGCATGTGTGTGTGGGCCATTCTTTTATCTCGGTTTAACGTAGACCGCCTAACCTGTTTCAAAGTTAACAGTATTTTCCTGAGGGGAAGCTTCCTTTCACCACCCAATAGATCTTGTTGCATTTATTTGTGCTTTTTTTAAAACAGGTATTCAAAAAAGCATCAATAACTGCAATGATTGGCACATACTGTTACTTCCTGAGTTAACCCCTGCCCATTCTGTTCAGTGGGGGATGATAAAGGAAATTCCTCCTTTGGGTCTTGTCCATTAATTGAATTATTTATTTATTATATTTAATTGTGGGCCATACGTATGCCACATGTCTGATGCTCTTTGACTTGTGTTGTTTGCTACAAGTTCAGAGGGAGCGATGGAGATGCTTGGCGACAATCACTAGATAGACAAAACTGGGTCAGAGGAAGTGTATCCTTCCACCTAAATATTTATGTACTGAGGTCTTTGTTTAGAAGGCAGCATTTGAGCTTGGTGTTGTGGTTAAAAGATTAACAGTTTCTGATATTTATGTATGCGTTGGCATACATATTGATTTGTTTATCCTGGAATCAGAAACTTAGTGAGTGATTGGGGCAGCAGACAAAAGGGGATGGGAAAGTAACCAAGAAGTCAGCAATGTTTTTGGTCCATAATAAAGACTGCTGTAGCAGTTTTCTTATTGGGCAAATAAAGATATGATATATAAGATATTTCACACGGTAAATAACTGTTCTGTTGCGGGATAGCTGTGTCCTTGCTCTGTGAATGTGTGCCAGATTCAGTCTACTGCTCTGAAGCCTTTTTGTATAAGATATTTGCAAAATGATCAAAGCTAGATTTTTTTTATTGTATTTCTATTGTATTTATTGTATTTCTTTTATTTAATGTACTTATGAATGACATTGATTCTCTTTATCTGCATTCCCTTTATCAGTGTCCCATAACATGGCAGAATAAATGGGAAGGACCAGAGGAGCCTATGCAGTACCTCAGAGCTGTCGTAACTCGGACTCTCGCCATCCAGGTAACACGAGACCTTCTCCGCTCCCTGTGTTTTTAAGTTTGTCTCTCTCCCCGAATGTTTGTCACAGCCACACAAAATTCTTTGGACAAATAGAAACAAATCAGCACTTCCTGGTTAAGCGTCCCCTGGGACTCAAACCCAGAACCTTCTTGCTGTGAGGCGCCGGTGCTAGCCTCCACACCACCGTGCCGCCCGATATTAGATGTGACATGTTTAAATATGTGTTTTGGCTTTACTTTATGGGGAAGAGCATCCTCGTACCAGTCAGAGAAACTGCTCACATACTGCTGCAGAAGTGCTTCATGAGTGTGTGTTTGAACAGAGTCTGTTGTGTGTTAACTGCTTTAAGTGGTCAGCTGGACTAGTATTCTAGTGTATAAGTTATTCTCAAGATTCCTTTTGGCTGGATTTGAGAAAACCTGAATTCCCACAATTGAATATATTAGAATTTTTTTATAATTATTCCGTCCATCATAAAAAGCCATCTCTTTTGTTCTTGGTTGCATCTTTTTACTTGTTTCACCGTAAAACCAATTTAAACAAAGAAGAAAAGCTAACTGCTCAGGGTCACCCGTGTTTATTTGTCAGTGTGGTTGTTCATTTACAGCACTTGTTACTCTGCACAACGACAACAGTCATGGATCATCAGAACTAACAAAGACTTCAAGCTTAATCGAGAGTCCTTCAGCCTGGTTCTGCAGCTGTTTTATCTGTGTGAAACCCTGATGGATTGATTGTGTGTTTGAATGCTCATTATAAAACATAAATGCTCCTTCATATGTAGGATGATGTTTTCCATTCGAAATAATAATTTCACACATTTCACAAGGTGAAAAACATGATTGACTTTAGATATTAGATGCTTTTTAATATGATCTGTGACAAGGACTTCGCTAGTTACCCTAAAACCCTGATAAATCTGAAATCTCTTTATGGTTTTATTCTCTGGGACAGGGCTAGTCTCTGAAGACAAACATCTAAAACAAATGCTTGACTACAAATGTTCTTTTTTTTCCAAGGGACCTCTAAGATGACACGAGTTCTAGGCATACAGTAAATCAAAGAAATGCCATAACTAGCAGTCAGGTGATACATTCAGTAACACCGGGACAGGAAATTGTTGACAATGTTTTGTGCTGAATAAGGAAGCAGAGCGTTGATGGATGCATCAGCCTCAAGTTGGCTCCAGATAAATGAGGATTTCTGTAAAAACTCTTCTTCATGTCCTCTTAATTGACTCTGACTGCACGCCTACTGCCGCAATATGCTCTGTCAGACCGGAATCTTCACATACACTCAGGAATTCAGAACTAATTTATTTCCGTGTTCATTTTTGTGTGGTTGCATTTCATTATTCTAGTGGAAGTGGAAGTGTGAGTGTGACCCTAACTGCATCTTTCTGTCTGTCACCCATCCGTCTGCATTTGTCTGCCTGACAGTTGTCTTTTTTACCCTCTTTACCTGCACCTCATCTGTCTTCATATATGTCAGCGTAAAGGCTGCGCTGCCCTTAACTGTCTTTTTCTTCCCATCAGTAGCGTTAGCGGCACGTCTGTGTTCTATTAGCTAATCAGTCTAATAAAGGTGGAGTCATCAGGAGCTGCTGAAGGATGATGAACAACCAGCTCCCAGACTTACAGGACAGCCTTGACAATGATCCAATTCTCACATTCAGAACACGCTCATCATTTTCACATGCCGGCTTTATTTATCATTGTTCCCTTTGAACATTTGACAGAGCTGATATTTAAGAGGGGTTGTGTTGTTTTTTTTTGCTTTTTTTTAACTAAATGCTGAACGTATGTTAGCACCAAACCCACTGTAGACAGAACCCACGCTGAAACAAGAAATCCATTCACAAAATTGATTGGATCCGATATTTGTTTATTTTCCCCAGGCAGACCCCCAAATTGACTCATTTCTATTTCGATTTACAGGACTAAAGAAAGCAAGTGTTTTTTTTTCTGTTTACAGAGTCTAAGAATAGATTGACACTTTAATCTTAGGTCAGCTCTAATGGCTCAATTCTTGTCAATCCAGGCTTGCAGGCTCAAATGATCAAAAAGTGTGCTGAAATCAGTCCTGTGACACTGGCCAAAAAACATCTAAGAGAGCACAACGGCTAAGAAATAGGACTGCATCACTGCAATTGAGATGCCATCTTAAAAAATTGTAATAGTTTTTTTTTTTTATGAAATAGACGGAGGCTACATAGCTGATCAAAGCACACGCTGAATATAGTGGATGGATCAACAGAGTAGATAAGGCTTAAGGGCTCTATCTACAGCTATATAGATGCACACACACGGATGCATCAGTACACTTCAGTACATTTAATCACTCAAGCATTTGTCATCTTTTTTTTTCCATTTGTGCATAATGGTAATACTGCATTCATGTTTACAGAGAGTAGAAGTAGGGTTCGATATGTTTATGCTTCTGTGTCTGTGCACCCTTCCTGGGTCTCATTAGCAGGTCCTTGGGACTGCCGTGTTATCAGCTTGTTGATGTGGTGATAAAAAGGCAAGCAGACATTAAATAGCCTATTAACCATGCATTTGTATCGGCCGTACATTTTATATGGTTTCCTTTTGTCTTTAATTTAAACACTAACTCTGTGACAGAAGCATCGCTCTCAGATTGATCTTCTCTGTGAAAAACGAAGGAAAATACAAACGCTGAGTATTTAGAGAGACGGTGCACTTCAAGATCAAATATTTGGTTCTGATTATTCTCATTATCTTTAAATGATCTACTGAATGCTTTTCCTGCCTTCTGTATTAAACGGATTTCATGCCTGACTTATATGTTATCTTGGAGTGTTTATTTGTTATTTTCAAAGAGTTTGGTTCATTAATCCTTGGGTCTGTTTCTGTGTTTCTGTTTACCTCTGGGTATGTCACGTACAGAGCTGGGTGGAGCGAGCAAGTAGAGAAGCTCTTCTTTCCGACATCCTTGATTTATCCGATCTCTTCCACCCCGATACCTTCCTCAACGCTTTGAGACAGGAAACGGCCAGGTGAGGTAACACCCGAGCCGTATGGGTTCATGTGAGGCAAACAGACTGCAAATGCTCAGATTAATAAGATCTTGTTTTGGTCTTAGGTCCATGGGCTGTTCGATGGATAACCTGGTGTTTGTGTCATCCTGGAGAAGTCATATTGCTCAGGCCAAACTACAAGTCAAGGTGGAATTACAGCAAACATACATTAAGCTATAGATCTCGCTTGCAATCTGCAAATACCCAGCTTCACAACACTGGCTGCTTAAACAAAATAGTTTATGGCTGAGTGGTAATTGGAGTATAATTGAGTAAAAGAGAACGAGAATAGATTACAGATGCAGATAAGAAGGCATCAGTGGAAGGAGAGAAGAAAACAGGCAGGAAGCGAAAAATGTGCAGAATATAAATTAGACACAAGCATGCAGTCATCTGATGTTTCATCTGCTTTTGGATGCAATGGATGGGCAGGAATGCTCCACGTTTAAGGGCTGGAATTTCTGAAACCGTACAGCTCTGTCAAGACTTCTTCCTTTTATGCTCTGACCCGCAGGTGATATAATTGTATTGTGCTCAGCTCAATAGTTTTCAGCAGTCGTTTCATTTCAAGTCATGCCAATAAAGCTTGGCCCAACTTGACATTCACTTAGTTAAAATGTACAAAGAGAGAAAGGAAGGGTGTGGGTGCAGAGAGAGGCTGCAGCTGCAGGGAGGGAAGGGAAACACTCAGACATCTCACAGAAAAAAAGAGGATAATTGTTGTGAAGCAATGAGCTCTCTTACATACACACACAATGTGGCTTTTCTTAGTTTTTCTATCTGTCTTTTTTCTTGCCAAGATTACAGTGATTTAGTAGTTCTCATTGAATGCCAGAGTTTCCCTTCCAGTCTGACCTATTGTGGAAGATCCCTGAGTCACAGGACTAAATTCACACAAACACTGTGTCTAAGATGTAGTATTTTTGGATCACACTTTATTAGCAAGTGACTGAAACGTGCATCTGTGTCTCACCCTTCTTATTTGTCCACTTATACAGTTTTTACCCTTTATCCTGTCTTTCATCCTGGATTTGCAGATTGGAGGTCTCCAATTGGAGGGTTGTCGTTTTGATGGACTCCATGTTAGTGAGAACCAGCATGACTCTCCCAGTGTGTCCGCTGTCCCTCCATGCTACATGGCCTGGGTTCCAAAGGTTCAGTATAGATTTCTGTTTAAAGCCGTCGTGTAAAGTATATTTCAGTCCTCTCTTTTCTCTATTTTCTGTATAAGACTGTTAAGTCCTAATTTAGCAGAATAATGACATATGGTATTAGCTTCTGCTTAAGACCCCAAAGTATTCTGAATAAACTGATGCCATTACATATTTACAAACCTGATGACCTCTCTACCACTTAATTGATAAACTGATCATTTACTAGTATCCAACAAATTCATTTGCAGGACACTAGTATAATATTTATTGAATTTAGTTTATTAAAATATCCAAATAGTAGATTCTTATATGTATTATTGTCCCTAAAGATTACACCTTTATCAGCAAATGTCATTTTGATCGATGGAAATAGAAATGTATGATTTATTTGTACCGCTTTGCTCCAGATTATAGACACAGTTTACAGGGAGCAGCCAGCATGTAATCCTTCTCATTGTTTCTGTGGACACCTCTTTGTTGGGGGCACAATTTCTGACAATCAGCCAGGTGCAACAGCTCATTAAACTCTGAGCCATCCACTTTAACTTCAGACTATTTGCACATTCAGTCTTGTGCAGGTATTTGTTCTAGCAATGCTGATTGCTCAGTGATGTAATTAGTTTTACAACATTCATCAGTACGATTAAAACAGTATATTGTAGGTAAATGTCATGTGGTCTGCAGGTTGATATGATTTCATGTCATGCTTGCACTGTCTATATTTTTACAACATAAAAAGGCTTAAAATCCTACAAGTGAGGTGGCTAAAAATGAAGTAAGATTTAAAAGGTTTAAACATTACCGGGGAAGGGGCAAACAGGGTTTTGAATCTATTGATTGCCATATAGGTTTGAAGCCCTCGTGCTGGTACTTCAGCGTTACGAGCTACATTTTTAATGATGTATCGGCTGGGTCTGACAGCAGATTCCCTGTTTACTTAATTAAACCATATGTCTGAAACAAACACCACTGGGTTGTTTTTCATGCTTTACGCGTCAGTTCAAACTTAACTTGATAAATAGTAAACATTCTTAACCCCCTGCTTTCAAGATGTGCTTTAACTAGCAGGTGTTTGCTGATATGATAATTGTTTTTTGCACCATTTGTATTTCATCAAAGACAAATCACTTCTCCTGCCAGCATACATTTTCACTTCTATTACCAAATGTATCTCCTTTCCTGATGTTCATTGTTATTGTTACTTGTAATCGTCTTGTGTCTTGCCCGCAGGAAAAATTTCAAATGCTATGACCTCAACAATGTGCGAGAGACAAAACACCGATCGCTCAAAGATAGCAGCAAAAGACATCCATCAAATTTCACAGCTACAGACCTGACAAACCGTAGTAATCACTTACGTCAGAGTGCCAATATCGACATTTACAGCTGTTAAGTTTCAAGTGCAAAAAGTACATACTATTGTGTAGCCAGACAACCAAAAGACCAATTCAATTCCTCACCCTTGCCAAAAGTCTCTGCTGTTCCCGGAATGTATTTCCAATATGCTTCACTGTAGACCCGCTAGTTCCGTTCTCCAGAACTTTAATTATTGTATACTGCAGAGCGGCAGGGAGTTTGTACAAACTGTCGGTCAATAGGATAATCCATGTTTCCTGTGTGTTCAGATATGCAAATAATTAAAGCCCTGCTGCCTCCTGTCTGGGTTCAGCTTGACTCTTATGAAGACCCAGTAGAGTTGAAATGTTGGTTTATGTCCAGCTAAAAGCTGTCAAAACAAATGTATATGTTTCATGTCTCTTTACTTTAGACCAGCTTTACGACCAGTTTTTTGGGGCCAAAATGTATTGATTTAATTTACATTTGATCCTAGAGCTCTGCTGTCGACCCCACTGCATCAGAGGACAGTATCTGGCTGCCACTGTACACCAGCTCAGAGAGAGTGAAGGTGGTCACACACGTCTCCCTGCCCTGTGGAGCCAACCCCAGCCAGTGGATACAGACAGGAGCAGCTCTCTTTCTCAAACAGCAGTGACAGGTTTCATCTTGAAATCAACCATGTTCATATATGGGTGTTGTTGTTTTCTTTTTTTTTTCTTAAGAATGCTTTAAAAGTTGTTAAATTCCAGAAAAAAACTACTTTTTTACTGAGGTTTTTATACTATTGAAAGAATTCATAAGCCTTAGTTTTAGGCAAAAGTGATAAAGAACTTTGCTCAAGTACTTTAATGTAAAGTGAGTACTTTGTCTTTCTCTCGTAGAGCAGACTGCAATAGCTGAATCGTGAATATTACATAAACTGTTTTACACGCTGTAACAACCCTGATAGGTCATTGCTCTCTTACTACTCAAAAGTGGTATATTTTGTGAAATACTTTGAAATGATATACCAGCAGTTTTTGATATTCATAGCACAGCGTTATTTTACACTTATTTTTCAGAATGCTTAAAGCATAAGTGTTTGCTGTACGGTGATTTTGTTCGTCTGTGCTTATTTATTTAAAATAAACATGAAATAAATGGGGATTTTGGTCGCAGCAGTTAATGACATCTATGTTAGTGTTGCTTAAGTGGTTAGACAGGCACTGGGACCCTCTTTTAGTTTAATTTTAATTTAGATTAAATTTGCATTAGATGTGCGGACAATGATATTCCCAGAACTTCGACACAAAGACGAGTTTGTGTGTTTGTGTGTTAGAGTAAGCTTCTGTCCTTTACTCTTACAGTCAGAATTTTTCAACAGTAAATAAATTGGCTTGAAAAACCAGAAAAAGGTGATCCTCCCTCAAACTCACACACGCTCAAGTTAGTCCCTAACCTCTGTGTGATTGGTTGAGAGTCGAGGTTGAATGGAGTCAGTGAAGCTGTGATGGATGGCCACAGAGCTCCAAGGGAGAGGATGGGGCTTGTAAAGTGTTTGTGAGTAAGAATCCAACAAAGAGCTTCAATTTTGATTGATGGCTTAATTAAGTCTTTTTTGTGTGTTCCAGCCGCTGTGCAAATTGTGTTTACACAGTTGTGCAGCGACAACTAAAATGCTAACACGTTAATGAAAACGGCTATTAATGTGAGACTGAATGAAGGCCTTGGTTTGTGTTTGTGTTTGTGTGTGTGTGTGTGCTGCATGGTTCCCTGTGAGCGGGCGTGTTTTTGTGGAAACGAGAAAAGGGTTGAAATGAGGGAGGAGAGGGTATTGTGTGCGCACTGCAGTGTGACAAAATGGGAGCGAAATGGAACAGCAGGTTTAAAAAAGTGAGAGGATTGGATTTCAGTGAAACAGGGCCCTCTGGGTCAGGTCGGCGAAGAGAGACTGGGATGAAGGCAGAAAGAGAAAAGGAGTGATGATGCAGGAAACAGGAGCAAGCGAGAAAGGGCCATAAAACCTGAGCGAAAAAAATGGTAGAGAAACAGGAAAATGAGGCTGGCACAGGTGACAGCTTGTGAGGACAGGGGAGGTCAAAGGGAAAGATTGATGGGAGGGGATTAGGGCAAGTGGTGAGTGATTTCTGGAAAACTGATGGAAGGGCAAAGTGCAAAAGAAACTGAGCAGATAGAAATTTTTCTTTCTAGTTATCCTGCAGTGTTATTGCCCTCTCACAGTCGCGGTGTCATTTAGTTCCATGCTTTTCCTTCATGTAAGTTACAGATCATAGTAATTACGTTTTACTTTGAACTATGTTTAGCATCTCAAGCACTTCAGAAGCTTTAAAGTCAGACTTTGAAATCACATAAGTCTTATTTTGATGGTCCTTCCCAGAGTTACGGAAGCTAAATAACTGGTAAAAGCAGATGTGCTGAACATAACCGGCTTCATGTGATGCTTTTTCTCAGGCTTTTTTTTTTTAAACATTGTTCCTAGAGAAAATGATGAGCCGCCCTCCAATGTGAGGATGCATTTCACACTAGCTAATGTTGATACTGTTTATGTGTAAATGATCTAATTAGGATTATGTCCAAAATTCTGGAAGTGAAATTCTCGAGGCGCCTCCATGGAAATTTACCAGGAATCCATCTCTCATGTAGAGTGATTTAGTGAAGGTAACCTTTTTCTTTTTGAAGTTGCCATATGTTTCTATAATTGATGTACTTTTCTCTTCGGTTCACTTTTTTGCTTTTTTTTTTGTTTTGTTTTTTTGCTTAGGTTTGTGCAATTGTATGCATCTTCTCTTCGATTCTCTTGTATCCCAGATAGAGGGGACCCTACTCCCCTCCTGTCTTGTGGTCTGAAATTGCATTCCTCTGAAATTTGGTCAGGTTGAGGATGGCCAGCTGTAATTCCTCACTGCATAGCACAAGTCACCAGCAAAAATGTATGTTTTCAAAATGTTCTTCTTCATCAGGCACTTTTAAACCTGAAATCTGTTTGATTTTCACCTTTTAATGGTTAATTTTGCACAAAATATTGTTATTTACCAAACTGCCTGCCCAAATTCGGTCTATCTTGATTTTAACAAAGAGAAAGTTAAAACAGGACATAGTCCATCTAGTCATTTGCGATACACACTCCTTAAGTGCGAGCATTGCGAGGGGGCTGGAGCCTATCCCAGCAGGGTATTCCCTGAGCAGGCTCACCAGTCCATCAGAAAGATGAAATGTAATGCTACACAAAATATAATACAAGCAGAGGAAGCCTGGAGTGGATTCAATACTGCAAATGGCTGACTGCTGCTGACGACTCCAGGGAACACCATAGATAGACGCAAAAATGAACTGTCCCTTAAGACTTAGAGGATGTTTCTGTGAGGGCAAAGCCGAAAGGATTATTTAATTTAAATAAACTCCCTACATGTGGAGCTAGAATTATCAAAATGAGCTGTTCTAACATATGCTGGGGATGTCGGCTAAAACCTTCTGAAAAATGCAAAAACTTGGCTTAAAAACAGTTTGGATGATTTCTGGTCTTGCAGACGACATAGCAAATTAACATTAGCACTCAAGCAAGCAACATCAATTACCACAGGCTTGTTTCCAAGGTGATTGGTCCCAGGTTTTTTTTTTTTTAAAAACACTCTTTTTCTCTGATGTTGATCAGCAGCTGCTTTAGTGCATTGTTAGGATTTCTGGTCACAAACCCACACAATATGAGTAATCCACCAAAGCGTCAGAACGGTGATTTAAATGCAACGCACGTCATCTCACAGAATACTGATTTACCTCAACGAAGAACAAAGATCAGTCTCAAAACAGCAGTACACGCATACCAAAGCACATAACATTAAAAATCAGCCCACTCCACAGTGTTTTTTTTTTCCACAGTTCACTTTGTTTCACAGCCCTTCCATTCTTCTTTAGCTTCCTCCTTTTGCTCTTCTATGACGTCCACCATTCAATGTTTTTCGGGGATTTCTTTGTCGATTAAGTAACAAAACAATTCAGTGCTTATATAGACCTACGTTTGCAAAACATTTAATATACAATCTGAATTTCAAACACACATTCCTGATAAATAATTCAAATGCAAGGATATAAACAGAGACATACAAGGCCTTTTGGTTTGTTTCCCCTCATTGTGGATATGTAATCAATCCGACTCAGATTTAAGTCAGATTTGCTCACTCATCAACATTTAGTCTTCCTTTTTTTTTTTTTTTTTACAGCTTGTTGAAAGAAACTGATCCAAGTTTTTAGGTTTTGGCAATTAGCCCACTAACTAACATGGCGTCTGGTGGGTCTCCTTAAAACAATACTGGTAAAATATTCTGGATTCCTTTTAGTAAAATAGAAACCGACAGAAATGTCAGATAAGCCACAGCCAGCTGCTTTAAACATCAGACTGAGAACAGACTCCAGTCAGAATGCAGCCACACAGTGAAGTCATAACTCTAAAGCATCAAAACATTTGTCAACTCTAATCTAAACAGATGTGACTCGCATTTGAATTATTCCAGTACTCACCATCTGTGCTATTGAAGCTCATGGCTGGAAACTGCTCTCTGGAGCTTCTGGTGATGACACTTCTGGTCTGTCCCACAGCCTTCACCATCTTTGCTTTTGCACACTCTGCGATTCAAACGTGTTACTCAGCTGTTTCCTCAGCAAACAAATGACGAGAGAAGACGCCACAGAGTGTCCCACCTCAGCGGAGTGGTATCGGGGATGGAGAGTGAGAGAAAAATCCAATGAAGTCCACAGCAGGCGTGTGGCGGTGGAGACGCAGCACCACAGAGCACAGCGGCGGAGGTGAGAGGCAAGGGTCACGGGCAGAGGGCCAACATGTTAGCACGGATAGGACTTTCAGAAGGATCCCGATTTCTTTTTTTAGGCTCAGCTCATACAAAAACCAAAGATCCTCATCTTGAAAATCGCGTCAGAAAGTTTACATCGAGTTTGTTATATTGTATCATACACTTTTATCTGTCATGATTTAATTGATATTACTGTTACCTACAACGTATTACTGTTTATTATTATTAATTTGATCAAACAAAGCTAAATTTCAGAAACACTGATACAGTCAACAGACTCAGGGATTCAATGGTTTTCAGGGTCATCTTGAGTCTTTTTTGTTTTCAGTATGACATTCTGTTTCTCACATCATTTTCAACCCCTGTACCAAATTTCTCACAACTTTGCTTCTGTTCACTGGGGTTTGAGGGCATTTGTTTGTGCTGTTTTAAAGGTAGCAACCCAGCATTCTTTGGGTTGAGGTGTTCTGAGCCATTCTGCATACCTCAGAACAGTATGTAACTCACTGTGACAGACCACATGTAACCACAATAATATTTACTTTTTTCTGTCTTCACAATTAATTCAAACATGCGTAACGTCTTTTTTTTTTAGCACCATCAGGGACATCAGCAGTTTTGTTAGACATTCTGGTTCCAGTTAAAATTGTCACATTGATTCTTGAGACATGAATATTGAACATGACGTTCGTGTAATCCTTCTTTTGTGGTAGAGCTTTCCCCCTTACATTCCTCTTAATGAAGATGAGAGCACAAGTCGAAGCGGCCAGCTGTTATGTCACTATTGATCTTTGTGCTTTGATTTGCTCGTAACAAAGCAGAGGTTGTTAAGGCACGTTGATGTAAAAGCTTATATATGCAAGGTTCTGGTGTTTTTCTGTCTGATAAAGCTGTAAGTGGAGCAATAAATAGTCTTTGGTGGTATCTCTTACCATAACTGGTGTCCATTCACTGGTGGGTGTTTGGATAAGAATCCACACAGTTTGCAGAACTAAATGGCTAATTCAAAGATGACAGAGTGATCCTCTTTCGTGTGATTTTTAATGATACATTAAGTTTCTTTCAAGAGGACTTCCTAAAACTTCATCCATGAAATATAAGAGAAAATATCCAATTCTTTTTGCTGTAACTGTAGGAATTTCTGCATGCGGTAGGTTTGCTCTCTCTCAGGTCAGCAGATACTAATAGGTCAAATGCTTGCAATCTGTTCGGACCCCAGTGTAGCGGCTTGCAGATATATTTTTCATAAATCTCATACTGACAGATGGCTTTTCGGATCCGATGAAAGTCATGAGATGGGGTTGTACAGGCTGTCAGCTATCCATTAACCCGACCC